TTGTGAAATTTCATATAATTGGACTCATACCATATGGACTCTCTTGCTGAAGGCTTCCTTAGTATAATGTTTCAAAATCCTTACCCTTTTTTTGAAGCCTTTCACTAGGATACCCTAAATTTTCACTCCATTTTTATTTCTCAAGCCATCTTCTTTATTCTCTCAGGCAAACATTAAAGTTTTTTTTTTATTTTAGTGATTTTTGCAAGTTGTACTAGACTCTTAGAATATTCCTGCTGTTTCCTCAGCCTTTATAAGTATTGAAAGAAAGGGAAAAGATTTGCTGCTTTCTTTGGAACAGTCAGATGCTTACGATTCTGTAGCTAAATCTAGAATTTAGTAATTTAAGAATCAGAAAGAGAGACAAAGAGAAAGATCTATGGTTCCCTGTGTGACATGCTGTCTCAAATATTAATCCCTTGTATATTTTAAAGCGGAGGAACAAAGCACCATGTGAATAGGGTGTTGTGATAACAGACAGTGAAAACTTCTGTTCATACTTCTGTTAAGTGAATAATAAGTACAGATGCTTCTCGACTTACGATGGGATTATATCCAGATAAATCTGTTATAAATTGAAAATATCATAATTTGAACCATCATAAATCAGACACTGTATTTCTTACATTTTAACAGTATTTTGCAAATCTATTTATGGTACAATTATCTTATTTCCTAGTTGCAAACCTATAAGGTAGATATTAATATTATGTTAATAATATGAATGATAAAACTAAGACTCAGAGGTTAGCATGGTGGTAGTGAATGAGGGGGAAGTACTTAGGATATGAAACCTGCATCTTCACCGTACACCACAATTGTGTATTTTAATTTTGATTCCTTTTTTTTTTTTTTTTTTAGCTAATTGCAGCTTCAGGTAATTTTTCTTCTTCTTTCAAAAAAGGGACTTCTGGGTTATATTTTCTGAGACCTGAATATTTGAGAATGACTTCCCGTTGCCATTAAACACATTGCAGAAGCATTTTCCTTCACAGCTCTGATGACATTTTGTTATTATCTTCTAGAATATGGTATTATAGATAAATCTGAAGCTAGTCTGATCTTGCTTCCTTTGAAGGTAATTTCTCTTCATTTTTTTCCTGCCTATATTCTTATAGTTTGTTTTTTAATTCTTGTAGTTCAAAAAAATTTGCCAAGGCTCACCTAGGTATGTCTCTGTTCATTGATTTTGTGTAGAACATCGTAAACTGGAAAATATTTATTCTGTTCAAAAGCATATTCTTCAGTTATATATTGGATTTTTGCTCTTTTTGTTTTGATTTTTTTCTTTTTGAAAATAGAATTATTTTCTTTTTTTATTATTTTTCCTAATGATTTTATCTTTGTTCTTTTCCTTCAAATTCTTACAGCACTTTTCATGTTTGCCCTTAACCTTAATGCTGTTTTCTGAATGATCGATTCAATTCTTTACTAACTCCATACAGATTTTATTTCTGCTATTACATTTTAAAATTTTCTTGTAATCATTCCTTATCTCACCCATTTTTCTTATCTCAGTGTGTCTCCCCTTGTGGCTCTCTGTTCCTGTTTCTCAGGAAATATGGCATATTTTCTTTGGCATATGTCAAGTACCTGATACATGCTTCTACCAGTGTCTATAGGGAATTATTTTCAGAAGACTGTGTTCTTTTTTTTTTTTTCTTAAGCTTTAGGCTGATATTCCCTTTTCTTTGTCAAATAATCTTTTCTCTAGGCCTATTTTTTCTCTTCTGTTTGCTTAAGAGTAGATTTGTTCAGAACCAGTGTTTATCAACAAACACAGGGTCTAGATTGCTCTTGTCCCTGCTCTGTTCACTTGGGTGCTACTTGGAGTTCTTGTTCATATCTTCAACTGTAGAGTGAGTTGTTTATATATAACCTCTATTGTATGCATATTGTTAAAAGTTTGTCATCTTATACAGCTCTGCTGGACAAAGATGGGATCTTGCATTGCATTGCTTCTATTCATTGCCTTGCTCTTTGACATTCTGGTCAGAGAAAAGCCCATGGTTCTCAATATGTGCTACTTGCATGAGTTTTCTGACTTCTTTTCTCATTTTATAAAGCTTTACTTATGAGGATTATACCTCCCATGTTACTGTGAGCCTTTGCCAGAACTACCCTCCTCTCTTCTATATACAACACACATTTTCTGGGGGTTACAAGTTCCTTCTGAATATGGAAATACAAAAAGAGAGGAGATGGTGGAGAATAGTACTGTACCAGCCACAAGAAGGTATACCTGTGCAATATAGGAACTACAGCCCAGCTTTGCAAGTGACATAATCTTTATATTTCTGGGTGAGGTGGCAGACTGGGGGAAGGATAAAGCATCTTCCTGTGTGGGGGAAGGATAAAGCATCTTCCTGTGTGATCTTTCACATATGCAGCATTGTTTGATTTTTTTTTCAGTGTACTGTGTGCTAATTATTATTTGTATTTTTTGATCTAATTCTCTTGCTTTCATAATTAGTAGAAATTATTAGCAGATTCTGGCAATCAGTTACTATGAATTTTTATTATTACTAATAGTCAACACTTATTAAATACATCTTATGTGCTAACACTGATAGAAATACTTTAAATGTGTTAACTCATTTAATTTTTATAACCCTATTTTGTGACACTGTAATTATTATCATTTTATAGATGGGGAAATTGAGGCTTAGAGAAGTTGAACACCTTGCCTAAGAATACTTAGCTGGTTTATGGCACAGTCAGGATTTGCATGCAGGAAGTCTGTATTTTTGCATATTGCAGGTTTTTATCTTGTTTTTTTCCCCCTCCCATCTTCATAGGTTGATCCTCCCTCTTTACCTCTCTTCCTTCCTTTTCCTTCTTTTATAACTACACAAAAGACAGGCAAGTATATAGTATTTAAAAAAGATGACCTTTAAAGTTAATTTGTTCGTAGGTCTTAGTTATTGGCCTTAGATGAGCATTGGACTGCGGCAATAATGTCTGTCTCTTTTGTCTAATCCTCCCTAAGACACTTTCTTAAACTAGGGCATGACTTGATCATCAGGAAGAGTCAGATTCATTATATTCGTACTGCCCAATACAGGGCCCACTGGACATGTGGCTGTCGCGCACTTGAAATATGGCTGGTCTGAGTTGAGATGTGCTGTATGTATAAAATACACCCTGGATACTGAAGGCTTAAGTACAAAAAAAAAAGAATGTAATTAAAATTAATTTTGCCTGTTTCTACCTTTTTGAATGTGACTACTAGAAAATTAAAACTTAACATACGCGGCTCATGTTGTGTTTCTATTGTGTATCTAAAAGTATGTAAGGTATGGTGTCTCTTCTCTAGGAGTAGGGAAAAGGCCTGAAAGGCAGTTAGAGAGGTGTGGTAAGTGTGAGACAGGAACTCATGCAGAGGAGACATCTAAACCCATTTTGAAGCCCTGTAAAAGGTGAGCTTTATGGCAATGGTAATACCTTGTTTTTCCTTCTCTTTTACCTTTTTTTTTGAGGTCTTTAATTCTACTCTTTGGAAGAAAGGAAATAAAGATCAAAAGCTAATTAAAAAATAGTTTGAAAGTCTTTCTTCTAGTAGTATTGGTTCATAGTATAATGAAACCGATCAAGGTTGAAGAAGGCCTGAATCTGCTCACAGAGACCACTGCTCTTTGTCCTGTCCCCAAACACTGGTTTAGACAACCAAATGTATGGTAGTGTCATTTGCTAAGTATGGAACACAGATCAGCTTTACTTCTATTAAGTTCAAGATACCTGTGGTACATCCAGATGGGGATTGACATGAGGCAGTTCAATGTGTGGAACTAAAGCCTGAGAAAAATCTCTGCTGGCTATATAGATTGAAGTAAGTTTAAGTCATGGGTAGGTATGAAATCATCAGGAATTGAGCGAAGTGAGAAATGAATCTAGGACAAACCACTGAGGAACAGTGAGGGTGACGAAAAGGAACAGGAACGTAAAGGCCACTGTCAAAGAACGGCCACTGGCAGAGAGGGAGGAGGTTAGCCAAGACTGTGTGCTTTCAAGAAGCAGTAAGTATAGACAGTGTCAAATGTGGCTGAGAGATAAAAATAAAGACTGAGAAATGTCTATGGTCTTTAATAATGAAGAGGCATTGGGGAGAGAGTATGTTCCAAGAAGGGATTGGGTTAGGTGGCAAAGCCAGATTGCAGAGGGCTGAGGAGTTGATGGGATTGGAGAAAGGAACTTATTCTTTGATAATGAAAGAGGGAGGAGAGAGGAATGCTTTTGGTAGCTATCAGAGAATATATTTAGCATGTGACAACTTGGGGTGTGTGTTGTGTCTGAGTTGTAACTCCTTTAGAAAACTGTTTCTGTATCTGCATTCTTGGAATATAGTGCATCCTTCACAAGGTAACTACTCAGTAACAGTTATGATTTTAATTTATTTAACACCTCTTTTTCAAGAAGATTCTTTATTAACATCATTTCTGTATTCTCTAAACATTAGATCTATATGAGCACTTAATTTTATCCAAGTTTAAATGTACTGTGGCATGGCTTAATGGCAAGGGAATGGGCTTTGGAATCCATTACAACTATAATTCAAATTGAGACTTTGGCACGTAGCTATGTGATCTTGAACAAATTAGTTACTACTTTTGGCCTCTTTTTCCTTATCTGTGAAATGAGGATATAACACCTCCACTATGTCAGGCTGTGGTAGGATTTAGTGTGAAAAGTTGTAAAGTTTTTTGTATGCAAATGTAAAGTGTTTGGGTATGAATTAGACACTTAGTAAATGCTTTCTTGAAAAACAGTTTCACATATTATGCATGCCTGCATCAAAACAGCACATGTACGCCATAAATATATACACCTATTACGTACCCATAATAATTAAAAATAAAAAAATTAAAAATAAACAAAAGTAGTGTATATGATATGATGTTATAACTTGAAATAAGAGCAAGCATACTCAGTTGAAATTTGAGTGAAAAATTCACCTTTGAATAAAAAGTATTTCTTTTCTTGTCCCCTCCCCGCCAATCCAGGTCCTGAGGGAGTCTAACAAATTAGCAGAAATGGAAGAACCACCCTTGCTTCCAGGAGAGAATATAAAAGACATGGGTCTGTAATGGCATTTTTTGTATAATTTCCTTCTCCTTTCTGACTGTGCAGACTGTTCAGTGCTCTCAGCATACAGAGAACAAACTGGCTGTCGGAGATGCCTCGGGTCTGGCAGCACTCGTTACCTGCAGCCTTCCCAGCCTCTCAGTGTGTTCTGCAAGCCAAGGCCTACACCTATTGGTAGTGTTTGTGTTTGGACTATTGGGAAACATGCAAATCGAATTATACTCTGCCGCTTCTCTTCTAAAAACCTTCTAAAAAAAATTGTTTTACTTTCTTTGAAAGTAGGTGGCTTATTTTTTAACTGTTGCTGAATTCTGTCTAGGGAAATTGTATTATTTTCAATTACTGTATTCATATACTGGATTGCCTAGATAAAAACATTGAATTGTCACTCTATACAAGTAGTTTTTCTTAAAACATGTTTCTATTGTTTACCTCCTTTATGTTTTTCTTTTTGGAATAACTCGGGTCAATTTGGAGTGAAATTTTTCATCCCAGTTGCATCTATTTGTATGTAGATGCCTTTCTCCAGTCTAATTAACTTAAAATATGAAAACTGAAAATGAGCATATAAGATGTGTTTTTGTCCTCATGCTTTTGCTTTGTGTCACCTGTGTAATAATTAGCAAATACTCAGATTTTGAGAAATAAAGTAATATGTTAGGAGAATGAAGTAAATGATTTCTTAAAGTAGATACCATCTTTCATTTTATTATCAATCATAATTTTTTTAAAGAATTTTTAAAGAATTTAAAAAATGCTTAATTTTCCTTGGCTAGGTGTCTTTCCTTGTGTGAAAATGAGCAAGCCAAAGGGGGACCTACCCTCTAAATGGGTTATTTTTACCTACTAAATTTAGTGCCTTAGCACTTAGCATGGTATTTGTCTCTTCTTGCTCTTGACTCTTGATTGAGTAACTTGCCAGTCTTTTTTTTTTTTCCCCACTCAGCCTTTTGTATACACTAAGCTCTTGATCTGCTGAACTATTTACTGAGTTAGATATATATTTTCAGTATTGGCTATTATATAATGTTAATAGTTATCATTATAGGGTACTTACTGTCTCAGTCATTCTCAGGGTAATATTCTGAGAAGGATATTAGCCCCATTTTGTAGATAAGGAAACTAAGGCATAAGGAGATAACCTAGCTAATAAAGTTATATCCAGCATTGTGACAATTTCTTTTTTCTTATTCTGAACCCAATGCCCATGCTGCTTCCACTATGATATACGGCCTTATTAAAGACTGTTGAGCTACCACTCAGTCTCATTTGTTGGTTCTTCTTCCTTTAAAATCAACATTCCCTAGGACTTCACCCTTGACCCATTTCCCTTTTCCCTCCTATATATTCTTTTTAGTTGATCATATCTAAATTAATAATTTCACCTACCATATATCAGCTGATGACCCCAAAGTTTGTATTTCTAGTCTAAACCTTTGTCCTAATACATGTAAACAAATGTCTCTGTCTTAGACATATGCCCTTGGCTATCGCATAGGAACCTTATATCCAACAGGTCCAAAACTGAAATTATCATCTTTAACTCCAAACTTACTCTTTTTCTTGCATTCTCTCCCTCAGTTGACATCAATATCAGCTGTCCATAGACTCAAATTAGAAATCTGGTTGTCATCCTAGACTGCTCCTTTTTTTTGAACTCTTAATATCCAGTCAATTACCAGATCTGAAGGAGTCAATCTCTAAGAATTTCACAAATTTATCTTCTTTTCTTTGTTTTTATGAGCACTTGGTATAATATTTATGTATACTACATATTTATGTATATTAAGGGAGATGTAGGCTTGAGGTCCATGTTTGGTAATAATCAGTGCATGGATATTAGTGGAAAATAGGAGGGTGAAAATAATAGAGTGTATGGAGTGAGAAGAATGCCAAGAACATAGCTTTGGTAAACACTAACATTTTACAATTATATGGGAAAAGAGGAACGAGGGAGGGAAATTAAAGAATGGAGAGGGTATGGCACAAGATAAATTGGAGAGAGCCAGACTAGACACTTTGTACATATCTTTGTTGGAATATGTACTTTATTTCCCCACTTCTGTATGTATCTTGGATTAGGTTCTTTTGCATTAAGTACTTCGTCACCATCTCTACCCATGTAAAGGATACCTGCCATTGGGGGACAATTCTGATGCCTGTGTTCCTTGAGCACTTCTCTGATCCTATGGCTGAATTGACTTTCCCTTCTCTCTATTATTTAGAATACTTAGAATGATTAGACACATGTTTTTGTGTCTCTCTGCACAGATTGCATACTCATATGTATTACATTTATTTATATGTATTTATTATTTCTCCTTATAGATATGTATTTTCAAAGTCATTTTGGCATACCTCACAGAAACTATTATGTATTCTTCCTCTGTGATCTCAGTGATAATTTGAGAGGGTTAGTAAATCTAAGATCTTTTTATAACACTAGGCAGTATTATTATTGCAAAATTTAGAGGAATACCAAATATGATTTAAAAAATTTAAAATTATCTGTACATGATGATTATTGTGCAAAAAAATTAAATTTAATTGAAAAAAGTCTAAGGTTAGAGTAAATTTGCATATATTCATTCATGTAAAAAAGACCTTGCATTTTTCAGTTGGCATAATACATAAATCTATGGTTTAGATTTTTTTTTAAAAAAGTGAAAGTGGTGTTAGGAACATCAACAGAGAATGCCTCAGGAAAGTAACAGTCTCAGAGTATCATGGCCTGGCTGCATTACGAGTAGAGGTATCTCCAGACTGCAGTGATTGAACTTTTAACACAGGAGAAAGATGTTAAATGGACCGTGCTGAGTTAGTGGCTTAGCTTTGCCATAGGAGAGGAGGAAGCATGATGTGGTAGAGAGAGTCTTAGTCACGGGAACTGGTTTCAAGTCTTAATCATAGCAGTTACTGGTTCTGAAATGTTCGGCAATTCATTTCACTTTTCTGAGCTCTGATATTCTCATCTAAAAATTGTAGATAATTATATTCCTATATTTAAGGGTTGTTAAAGTTAAATAAGGCACTCAGGTGAAAAGTAATTTAAAATTCTAGAGTGCTACATCACTAATGCTAGTTGTTATTGTCATTTATTCTGGTAAGGTTCCCGGTAACTCACAGTCTCCCTGCTACTTGCTATAAACCTGCTGTGCATAACTTTTCTCTTTAGAGTGACTTAGCCTGAGAAGAGATGAGACAGGGAACAGAACAAAGAGTAATGATAATAATAGTAACACAGGTATAAACCCTTGTGTTTGTATAGTACTTTCAATTTTAGAAGCACTTTTATGTATATTATGATTTTAGAATAAAAGGGAAGGTATAAGAAAGGAAGCTTTGGACCAAGGGTGACATATCCTATAGTGGGATATAGAAGAATAAGACTGATTTTTCTTGCTTGAGTAAGAAAACTGGCTCTGGAAGGAATCCAGAAATCTGTTTAGTAACATTGAATAAAGCTTTCCTAGTTGAGGTACAAATTCATAAGGGAAAAAAATGTGTGTGAGGCAAGTTTGTATATCTTTATATAATGATGGGTTTATTTAATTTTAAAAGCTTCCCTCTAAATGAAACATGCATTAGAAACAACGATTTAAAAAATGTAGCTCCTACTTGAGCATTCCTAAGGGAACCATTTTGAAGGTTAGAAATGATTTTCAAAAGATCAGCCTCAAAGCAAATCCCATACAAAGCAGTCAGTCCTTCAAAGTGATGACTAAGAAGCAAAGTCAGGAAGTTGCAATACCTTATTACACATATTTCATGGCCCTAAGTTTTCCTATAAGCCCTTTTAAAGGTTCTTAGAAAGCTGTTGCTCACAGAACTGCAGCTCACTTCCTTGGAACAATGAAGATGTTCCTTTATTTGCTGATTTGCTGTGGTAATCACACAGCAGGAATTTATGAATATTTTAAGATATAAAAACCTTGTATTGGGAATTATGAACTCTGCCATTTTAAATAATATTTTGAGCTAGTGATTTCTGCTTAATCAATTAATGTATATATTTTATAAACCAAAATGGCATATAGATTCATTTATCATTTAATAAAGCATTATTTGGAATTATTTCCTTACAAAGTTGGACATACGCTGCTTGGTCAGGAATATAATATCCTCTTGTACTATTATTTTTCTAAGAAATTATATTTCATATACATTTCATGTCACCTACAATATTTTTTCCAGAAATATAATCAGATCAGGAGTTTCTGGTATTATATGTTTTGGGTATTGCATTTTTAGAAGAATGTTGACAAACTGGACTGTGGCCAGGGAAGATCAAGAGATTAGTGAGGCCATCTGGAAACTGTGATGAGATCGATGAACAGTGACTGCGCCATGACACGTTTGCTACGGTTACCACCATTGCCAGCACCTAGCTACTCCAGTACTCCAACCACCACATCTGTTTGATCCAACCAGGATAGTAGCCATCTCTTTTACGTCTCAGGGGAAGAAATGTCCCGCCACATCTTCACTCCTTCTCATTTAATTCTACATTCCTTCCCCAGATTAGCGCAGGGTTGGAAGCTTGGATTAGGCTTCGGAGGTCTCTTGGAATCATTGATTCTGTGATTTTTGAGCATAAATTAGACTAGCAATTAGAATAAGTTTATAAGATGAGAAAGCAGTTTTTAATAGCCCACAAAAAGTAAACTGTGGACTTTTTGCCTTTTCAGCCAAAGATGTAACTTACATATGTCCATTCACTGGTGCTGTACGAGGAACTCTGACTGTCACAAATTATAGATTATATTTCAAAAGCATGGAACGGGTAAGACTTGGATTGGATTTTTGTATGTACATGTGTATGTTGTTTGCAGCCAGTTTTGTTCATTTTTAATCAAAGAATTTCTGAGTAAGATTTTTATCAGCTATAATTGTACAGTATCAGTTGCTCAGTTTTAATTGTTTTTCTTTCCTTCCTTTAGGACCCCCCATTTGTTTTAGATGCTTCTCTTGGTGTGATAAGTAGAGTAGAAAAAATCGGTGGCGCTTCTAGTCGAGGTGAAAATTCTTATGGACTAGAAACTGTGTGCAAGGTAAATGTTTTAATGTGTATTTGATTTTCTTTGGTCTGTAAGGCTTTGTGTTAAACAGAGCTTGGGTTTAGAAAATTGTTTCCAAAATATCAAATGGATTTCATACTAGAAATGCTGTCCAAGTAGAAGAAAACAAAAGTTAGCAGTAATAGAAAAGGTGATTCATGAATTAGACTTAATTCTTTTGGGCCCAGTTCAGTCTACATATTTTGATATGCTCAGAAATTTATTAGCAACTTACTTTTATAATGACCATCTTTAAGATGCATAGTACTTTACAGGATATAAAGTACTTTCACATTCATTATTTCACTTTGAGCTTCATTTATGATTCCGTGAGGCAGGCACAAAAGACATTATTAACTTTAATTTACAAATTAGAAACATTAGGTTCTGAGCAGTTAAGGCAAAGTACTTTGCTAATATACATATGTTAATCATCGCCTATCTTTTTCTATTTCTAGTTCTTATAATTTTTCTACTTCTGAAACAATGATGGGAAAAACTTGATATTATAGACCTTCCCTATTTTTTTTAATCTGCTGGCATTCTTTAATTGAAACTTAGATTTTTACTGTTAAGTCATAGGTATTTTATACCACGTACCACTTCTCCAGGTCACTGTTCTCATTATTATGTCCTAATTAACACCCGTATGCATCTCAATTCTAGATTACATTGCTCCTTTCTTTTGCTGTTCTGCCAGTACCAAAAGTAAAAGAAACAGCACAGGTATAATTCAAGATACTTTCCTATGCAAATCTTAGAAGTTTTGTGAATCTAGTATCAAAGCGAATTATTTAGTAATTATTTTTGTTTTTTCCATTATAGTCAGAAGGGCTCTGTGAGTGTACTTGCTGTCAATCATGTGTAACCATGTGTGAAGCACGGTGTCTCCTGATTACTTTTCTGTAGTCTAATAATAAATAGAATATAGAATATAAGAGATTGTGAAAGAGGATGATTTTGAAATCTTGATCATTTTAAATATAATTTTTCCATGGAACAAAACCATTATCAATAAACCCAAACATTTGTAGGGCCCCTTCTTCTTTTTTTTTTTTTTTTTTTTTGAGACAGAGTCTCACTCTGTTGCCCAGGCTAGAGTGCCATGGCGTCAGCCTAGCTCACAGCAACCTCAAACTGCTGGGCTCAAGCGATCCTTCTGCCTCAGCCTCCCAAGTAGCTGGGATTACAGGCATGCACCACCATGCCCAGCTAATTTTTTCTATATATTTTTAGTTGTCCAGCCAATTTCTTTCTATTTTTTTTTTTTTGTTTTTTTAGTAGAGACGGGGGTCTCGCTCTTGCTCAGGTTGGTCTCGAACTCCTGAGCTCAAATGATCCTCCTGCTTCAGCCTCCCAGAGTGCTAGGATTATAGGCATGAGCCACCATGCCCGGCCTGTTGGGACCATTCTATGGCACTTTTAGAGAGCTCTGTGGTTAACAGAGTAATTCTGAATATCTCTACTAGTTGTAAAGATATTTACTGAGGGAAAACAAGATAACAGCTTAGGTTCCTGCACATATTTACTTTAAAAGAAGGTAAGGATATCATTCTAGTTTTGGATCAGATTTAAAATACACTGTTTTACTTACTCATGTACATAGGTGCATTGTAGTGAAGTGTCTTTGAGTTCAGTCTTATAGAACGAGGTATAATAAAGCTATTTTGAATTCTGCTTAGGTTAAAACATGTAAATAAAATAGATAGTCTTGAAATTATTCTTAATCCCTAATTTTTTTCTAAATGCAATTAGGATATCAGTAAACCAGAGCATGAATATCTGCATTCAGCCTGAGCATAGAAAACTACTTGAGAACAAATAATGGAAGGGAACCTTGGTCTATAATCCTGACTGTAGAGCCTAGATGATATCAACCAAACTGTTCAGAGTCAATGTGTTGGTAGATGATGGAAGTACTTGGATGTGGAGTGAAGGAAGGCCTTTAGGCAGAGATTGGTTCCTATTCTAGCAGCAGGGGACTTATGAGGAGAAGGTCCAATGGAAATGAATCTTGGCAAGGGATAGTAATTAGAAAAATAATAACCAGACACGATTGAAATGAAGATATGTATGAAATGTAATAACAGCTAAGCAGGTTTTATTAATACAGAAATTCATGACAGAAAATAGGCTTTGACAGGGAAAGGACATATGCTGATAGTGTGTATCAGTCATGATATCAAGCTTAAGATGTAATATCTCTAATCTCCAGTGCTTACAACAAATGCTACCTTTTTCACTGGCCTATCTTGAGTACTTAGGCATAGGTAAATTCTCTGCCCTCTGAATTTTGCTTTCTATTAGAGTGCCTTGTGCTTCTTTTTATTTCTTCCAATAATTATACAATATATATTGCATACTATATGTATATAGTTACATATAATATAATAATTATTCTGCCTCCAGGAGCTGTTGTCTGATTTGTTTTTGTATCCCACATTCACACATCTTAACATTTTACAAGATAGTTCCAAGGAACCTTATTTATTAATTAAATAAAAAGTGAACAAATAAAAATATTAACTTGGATCCTAAATCTTTTCTAGGATATTAGGAATTTACGTTTTGCTCATAAACCTGAGGGGCGGACGAGAAGATCCATATTTGAGAATCTAATGAAATATGCATTTCCTGTCTCTAATAACCTGGTAAAATGTTTCTTTTCTTTGGAAAATCCATATTATAATCATTGATGTAGTGTCAAGAAACTTGTCTAGGCTATCTAGAGTCTCTTCATTTACATCCCTGCTTTGACATTTAACCAGATGAATAGTGAAGGTTTAATCTAATGTCTTGAACCAATTTATTCAGGTATGAATAAGGAAGCTGGATTAGCTGATTTCTGAGGTCCATTCCAGCACTTACATTCTGTAATTATATGGTCTGGCTTTCCAGGGTATTCCCATTATGAAAAGCATTATGTGGTAGTCTTCATTAGGATTTGAAATCTGCTTTTTAATTGGGAGCTGACAGTTAAGACTGGCAATTTGGGAAGGAAGGGTAGGCAAATACTGATTTGCTACTATGTATGTCACCAGTGTTAGGCTTCCTTATTTATTTCATTTCACTTCCATAGTAGCCCTATCGTGGTAGATATTATTTATCCCTGTTTTAGAATTGAAACCATTGTCAGGTAAGCAGTTAACTCAAGAGCCCAGCTAGTAGATAGTAGAATTTGGAATCAACACCAGTTTTCTGACTCAAGTTCAACTTTTTTTGTATCATAGTTGTTTTTGCCATTACATCTATTAAAAGGACAAATTAATTTTTTTTTGGTAAGCAGATTGCTTGCCAAAAAATAACAACCTTATTTAGTGTGTTTTAGAAAATGTAGCATAAACTTCATTGTTGCTTAACTGCTGGTATCTGTGATGTCAAACTAGTTAATTATATCATAAGATGTCTTTTTAAATGTAATCTTTCACTATTTAGAAGTAAACCTACAAAAGATACCAAATATATCTGAAAGAAACATGATGATATGTTAGTATTTGGTAAGTTTTGTTGGTAGGTGTCTGTGCTTTTCTATATGTTTGAAAAATATGTAAAAAAACCAATAAATTTCAAAATTGTAAAATAAACACTAAAACAACAATATAAAAAGGGAAGCCAATACAAAGTATTCTTGCAGATAAGCAAATTAAAACTTTGGGTATGGTAAGGATACATATCTCATTTCTCATTCATTACCTTCTTAAATGTCTTTTAAAGCTATTAACTTTGTTTACTCTTTTGTAGCCTCTGTTTGCTTTTGAATATAAAGAAGTATTCCCTGAAAACGGGTGGAAACTATATGACCCTCTTTTAGAATATAGAAGGCAGGTATGTACTTCTTCTCTTTCAATTTTAGTTTTTTATATTTTTTTCATTACAAAGAAAACTTCATGGGTAGAAGTAAACAGCTTTATATAGGGTTTTTTGTTTGTTTTCCATGAATGCTAATCCTGATCATTTGGCTACCTGGCATTTTCTCTGAACTGCTTTTCAGAATATGCCAGTGATCTTTCATGAGTCTTATCTAGGAGTTTACAAGTATATCAATTTGTTTCAAAAATGTTTAACAATTTTAAAGATAAAAATAAGATGGTAAGTATATAAAAGTTTTAATGTTTTTATGTGCCATTTAACATTATTCACTCAGATTTTTCTTTTTTGGGTATTTTATAATTTAATTCTGAAGAAAATTTCTTAATAAGTAATAATGGAAGCCAGAAGACAGTATACTAATAATTTTATCTTCAGTGTGTTGAAATAAAACAAATGCCAGTTGAGAATACTATGCCCAGTGAATATATCCTTCAGAAATGAAGGCAAAATAAAAAGATTTTTAGATAAACAAGACCAGAGTATTAACTACCACAGAAAATTCTAAAGGGTATACATTAGGTGGAAGTCAAGTGACCCCAGATAGAAAATCAAAGACCAAAGAGTAAATGGAAGGTAGAGAGATTGGTAAGTGTGTGGTAAATCTAAATGTCAATTATATAAAACAATAATATTTTCTGAAGTATATATGAAATTAAAATACATGGCTAAGAAGTTAGAAAAAGGGGTGGGGAGGATGGTGAGAAGTTGATCAGAGGATACATAATTCAAGTAGAAATAAATTTCAAGTGATCCATTGTATGTTAATGATCAAATAGTATATTCTTAAAAAAATTAAAGTGGATGTTATATGTATGATCTTACCATAAAAATAACTATGAGAGGTAATGCATTTATTAATTAGCTAGATTTAACCATTCCACAATGTATATGTACTTCAAAACATCATGTACACGATAAAAACATGTTTTCTGTTAATGAAAAAAAATAAGAAAGAAGCTGGAAAAAGAATACTGAAGTAAACTAAAGAAAGAAGGAAGGAAATAATAAAGATAAGAGAAATGTTAAGAGAAAACCAGTATACAATAAGGATCAACAGCAACAACAACAGTTTCTCTGAAAATATCAATAAAATTGTCAAACCTCTAGAGAGACTTAACAAGAAAACAAAGAGAGAATTCGCCAAGTAACCAGTATTAGAAATGGAAGAAGGAAGGACATCCCTATAGACTCTGTAGATGTTAAGGATAATATCAAGATGATATAAGCAACTTTGTCAGTAAATTTTAAAATTTTGGTGAAATGAACAATTATTTAGAAAATACTTGCTAAAGACTAATTCAGGAAGAAATGGAGAACCTGTATTATTCTATATTGATTACATAAATGGAATCTGTGACCAAAAATCTTACCCAAAAATACCCCATGCCCAGGTTTCAGGGACAAGTTCTACCAAACACTTAAGGAAGAAATAATTCAAATCATATATAAATCTTCCAGAAAACAGTAAAAAAAAAAAAAAAAAAAAAGCAATAAAATAAAAATAAAAAGAAGGTTGCCTTCCTTAGCTTATGAGTCTAGCATACCTTGAATTGAAAACCCTATAAAGACAATAAAAAAGGAAAATGATAGACCAATTTCACTAATAAATATATATTTAGAACTTCTACATAAAATGTTAACAAATCAAATCCAGTAGTATACAAAAGGGATAATAGAATATGACCAAGGTGGGTTGGTCTAATATTAGACAACCTATTAATATAATTCATCACATTAAGAGATTAAGGCAAAATTCAATCTTCAAATCTGTGTTTTAGCGTATCATTCTTTCTCAGTAAACTACTTCCCAGAGAGTCCCTGTACTGCAGTACTTAAACTCTACCTAAAATAGTCTTTTCTTTATTTTTAACTTCCCTTATGTCCACTTGCTTTCTTGAGAATTTAAGTTGACATGATTGTTTCTCATAAGTATTAGATTTGATATCCAAATTATTCTAGAATTCAAATATGAAAATCCTTAAGCTGTGACTTTTGTGTTTAGATTTCAAACATTGTATTCTAATTATAACACTTCTAATTTACTGAGTTTTTTGTTTTAGAAAGCCAAGAAGAGTAAATAAAAAACCACTGCTAAAGAGCTAAAGATATCTAAATGGTTTGAAGCTGAATTTGTTACTACACTCATATGTGGCAAGTGAAATTTTAAATTCCTCATTCAGTTACATTGTACCATCAATTGGCAAAATAAATGGGAATCAACTAAAAATTAAGAGTATACAAGTAACATTACAAGATTTATGCTAAAAAAATCCATTGTCAGAATAAGATGATTAAGCAACCAGAAAATCTAACAAGTGTCTTCACAAATTATAAAAATAAGGATAATTCTTTGGGAATCTGGGCAGAAGTTGCTGTCTGTTCTAGCAGCATTCAGCATGGAACTTTGGAAAGCAGTTGAAGTAATTATTTCCAAAGAAAAAAAATAAATTATTATTAAAAGGGAAAAAGTTGGAGGGTAAATGAATAACTGAACCTATACAGAAAGAGAATTATGAGATTAGGAAATGTGTCAGTAAGAACACAGCATTGAACTCTACATTAAATGATATGGATGCTTTATGGTCTTTGACTTATTTAGATGAATTTTTTGTTTTTTTTTTTTTTTTCCTTTTCTGCAGAGTTAGAAACTTTTGTCTCTGAGTCAATTAAGCTAAGGTTTAATGTAGAGGATACTCTGTTTGTAGTTAGAAGATTTATTTTGTTCTTTTCTTGGATATATTTAAGTTTCTTACAGAAGAAAATGAAGATGATCTTTTAAAATTTAAGACTAAAGATAAAGCATCAGAGCATTCCTTTTTTTCCCTTTAAATAATAAAAAAAGGAAGTGCTAATACTTGTACTCTATATAAAATATAAAAGATCCAAAGAGGTCCACTGAACTTCCCAGAACAACCCTGTCCCCCAGCCATCCCAGTTCCCCTCCCTTTGGGAAATAATGTTACTGGTTTCATATATACACTCTCAAAGATATGCCTACAAAGATTGTGTTTGCATGTGTGTACATTTCTTTTTGAGCATGTGATTGCATACCATGCACACTATACTGCACCTTTATTTTCTCATTTAATATACTTTGGAGATTGTACCATCTCAGACCTTCCTACTTTTTTTAATCGAGATATAACTGATACCATAAAATTCATTGTTTTAAAGTATATAGTCCACTTGTTTTTAGCATATTCACAAGGTTTTGCAGTTATCACCACGCTAATTCTAGGACATTTAGAACACTTTATTTTGAATTTTAGCTCTAGCTCTTCCTGTCACACTCAGGTGCATGCTCTTTGCTGGATCATTTATGTCACAGTGTCTTTATTTTTTACTTGATGATAAGTGCTGCTTTATGGGATTGTTGGAAGGATTAATAACATACAGGAAAGCACTTTGTAAACTATAAAATGTATTCAAATTATTATTCTATTTATTACATTGTAAAGCTCTGAAAACAAATCATGACTGATTAGCTTTATCATGTGCTGCCACTAAATCAAAAAATGAAAGCCACATTAATTCTACAGGCCTATACATAATAGTGCTAATAGAAATTAGATTATATCTTCTTAAAAATGGATAAAACTATTAATACTTTATAACAAACCCATTTGAGTTTGTTGTAAAGGAGAGTTTTTCTTTAATTTACTCTTGAAGTACAGTATGTTGTGATTATACAGAGGACCCTAGAATTTGTGGATAAGGTTGAGAAAAATCAAGTCATCAGTAAAAATCTGTATAAAGAAAATGAGTATGGTCTTCTGTAGAAATACCCAATCATAAAGTACATGCATTGCTTAACAAACTTGGAAAACATTCAAGTTCAGTTAAGGAAAACAGAATTTATCCTTAGAACTGGAATGTAAGTAACTAAGGAAAGTCATAATCCTATTAATTTGGTTGTAACTGGACTCTGACAAGTGGACATACTAAGGGTAGTGATTTACATGGAGAGTAGAAAAATACATGCCAAAGATCAACAATTGTCAGAATATCTTCAGTATTGTCTACAAAGAGGGTATATGAGGACAAGCCAACTCCAGTTTTCTGCTTGAAAGGCAGTCCCTTTATTGGAGGGAGGTGTGTCAACTTATCTAAGAATGAGGAGAACAGTCGCCATTAAGGTACTTTAAGTCAGTGGTTCTCATTCCTACCCCACCCTGCCACTTATCTGAAGAACGTGACATTACCAATGAAGCAGTGATTCTCTTGGTAGTGATATTTCAAGGATATGGGAAGGGAGTGGGAGAAAGATGGGAGTTCCTTTCTGGGTTGAGGGATGGTACATTAGGATCTCAGATGTGTGCTTCTCAAGCGATTTGTCCCCTCTTACTTCTGATTTCATGTTTTCTAAGAAAACTTTAGAAACTAACTTTGCTTCTTACGGAAGCTTCATATGGTTCATTGATTTATTCATTCATGCATTCACCAAATTCATATAGTACCTACAAAATACTAGTAGCTAAAATGTGAAATGTAAAGATACAGTTCTGGTCCCCAAAGAGTTTGTGTTTAATGGCAGGTTCAAACAAGCAGACAAACAATTACAACTTATTATAATAAATACTCTTATAGAGCAAATACCTAGTGCGAGAACATGAAACCATCTGGGAACTGAAAGAAGTCTTATACAGGCTAGATTAGAGTGTACGGTGGCAAGAGAGAGGTCTGGAGGAAGCAGGATTGTGAAGTGCTTTGCTAAATCTCATAAAGGACTTTAGATGAAAAGCAATAGGTAGCCATTGATAGATTTTAGACAGAGGAATGACATGATCACTTTTGCATTTTAAAAGATTACTGTGGAGACAGTGTAAAGAATGGATTACAGAGGGACAGGAGAGAATTGATAATGGCTTGAATTAGGGAGGCGGCAGTGAGAACTGAGAGAAGTGAGCAAACTTCTGGTACTTTTGGGGAAAAAAATAGGAATTAATCATTGATTAAATGTAGGGGATAAGGGAGAGGGAGGAGTTAAAGATGTTATTCAAGTTTGTTGCTTAAGTACCACTTCTTTAAACTTGGCAATTCACTGTATTATACTTTTTATTATAATATGTGAATATTTTTAAAAAAAATTTAATATTTAAATTAAAAATCTTAACATAAAAATAATTAAGCCTTTCTTTTACTTCTGGAAATGAGTAAGGATCTTATAGTTGCCCAGACTATCTAAAGTTGAGGAAAGCAAAAGGGAGGGAGAGATGTGTAGAACATAGGGAGCAAGTTGGGACCAGGCTAATTAAAAAAGGGTAAATAGGGCCGGGCGCGGTGGCTCACGCCTGTAATCCTAGCACTCTGGGAGGCCGAGGCGGGCGGATTGTTTGAGCTCAGGAGTTCGAAACCAACCTGAGCAAGAGCGAGACCCCGTCTCTACTAAAAATAGAAAGAAATTAATCGGACAACTAAAAATATATAGAAAAAATTAGCCGGGCATGGTGGCGCGTGCCTGTAGTCCTAGCTACTTGGGAGGCTGAGGCAGTAGGATCGCTTGAGCCCAGGAGTTTGAGGTTGCTGTGAGCTAGGCTGAGGCCACAGCACTCACTCTAGCCCGGGCAAAAGAGTGAGACTCTGTCTCAAAAAAAAAAAAAAAAAAAAAAAAAGAAGGGTAAAAAGGATAAGGCACCAATGAGGAAACAACACAGCTAGAGATAGATAGAAATGCTATTGAGAGTATTTACCACATGATTACTGGGAGTTTTCTCTCCTTTCTTAATTTTAATATTCTACTGGATATTTGGCAACAGCTTGAGAAATACTTCTTTATTGCAGAGTACATTCTACTTTTTATTTGAGATTTTTATAACAATTTATAGTGAACTAGGATAGTAAATTTTTCTTGAGGAATAATGTACACTGTACTTTAAAATAAAAAGAGTAGATTTGGAATGTACATGGAATTCTCTATTCTACCACGTCCTAATGTATAGCTTTGATCAAATTACAAACCACATGTGCCACAGTTTTTTAATCTATAAAATGAAGTTAATAAAACCTAAATACAGGCTGGGTGTGGTAGCTCAAGCCTGTAATCCTAGCACTTTGGGAGGCTGAGGTGGGAGCATCACTTGAGCCCAGGAGTTCAAGACCAGCCTGGGCAATAGCAAGACCCTGTCTCTACAAAGAATAAAAAAAAATCAGCCAGGTGTTGGTGGTGTGTGCCTGTAGTCCCCGCTGCTCAGGAGGCTGAGGCAGGAGGATTGTTTGAGGCCAGGAGTTGAAGGTTGCAGTAAGCCATGATGATGCCACTGCACTCTAGGCTGGGCATCAGAGTGAGACCCTGTCTCAAAAAAATAAAAAATGCCCCCAAAACCACTGAATACAAAAATATGTATGTGAGTGTATGTGTAAAGAGGCTGGCATAGGGCCTATAAGTTTTCAGGGATCACGACATTGAAAATAGATTTTCTTAAGTCCAACCATTTAATGTAATGGCTTCGTTTTCTATACAATGGAGGATGGAAATTTCGATTTTCTTTAATCCTCTACCTATGTGAAGTAGTACACTAATAAAATAGCAGACATTGAAGGACCACCTGAGAGCTTAATAACTGGTATATTTTTAAAAAGTTAAGTCTTTCTCTTGCCTGTTGTCTGTCTCCACTTTGCCTTCCATTACTCCCTTGCTTTTATGATATGTTTTAGATTAGCAACATCCCAGTAGTACTACAATGCTGGAGTGAAAAATTCACTTTAGGTATGTAAGGGATAACTATGTATCTAGCATTCTAGCGGACACTTGGTGCCTGCCCTCTAAAATTTCTTTGTATAGATGAATGGCAGCAAAATTAATCAAACTGAATGAGACTGTGTTCTCTTTAAAGACAGGGAACATTTGCAGTCTTATTGTTTCCTTCCTTCCCCTGGATATGTTTAGCACAGACCCACACTGAATATTTAATGTATTAATAAATCTATTAACATAAAATTGGGTGCCAAAATGAACCCCTATCTCAGCCTTAGAATGTCTAATCCTAAAAGCCTGGCCACCACAGGCAGACAATAACAATTCCAACACTTTAAGAGATATATTAATATAATGGAGATAAGAGAGAGTGCATAGGATCGCTTCTGTCCTGGTGTCTCTTAATGTTTTAGTTAGATAATAATTTGTCTCATGTTTTATTTCACATGTAGGGAATTCCGAATGAAAGCTGGAGAATAACAAAGATAAACGAACGATATGAACTTAGTGATACATACCCTGCCCTCCTGGTTGTGCCAGCAAATATTCCTGATGAAGAATTAAAGAGAGTGGCGTCCTTCAGATCAAGGGGTCGTATCCCAGTAAGTATGAAGCTTTGATGAAACTTTGCAAATGCTTGTATATTCTACCTAATGCTGAGATTAATGAATGAGAGAATGGATTCAGGATAAAAATAGCTACAGGTCTTTTATCGGGATATTGGAGTTTGAGTTATTTGGTAAAATTAAAACTGGAGGAAAGACTTAAAGAGGTTTCTGGAGACTCTGACATGGGTATTAGATAACTGCACAGAATTGCGTGGTTCTTCACTAGGAAACGTTTGCCCTGTACATTATTCACTGTTGGTTTATCTAAGTGTACATCCCTTAGCCATGTTTTTTTCCTTTAAGTCCTAAGAAAGAAGAAAACTTTACAAATTTATGATTAATAACTGGATCCTAGAAAGGTCAGCTCAAACAATGTTAGGTACAAAATTCATAGATTCTAAAGAGTTGAACAGTTTTATTGATATAGTAAGTGGGGTTTACTTAGCTCTGTTTTAATGTATTTTTTCCTAGAGACCACTTCTCAATAATTAGTGACTTCCCAAAATCAATGTCTGACAAAAGAATTAGACGAAATTTTCCATATGCCAGAGTTGGCTTGAAAGAAAAATGATGGGTTTTCCTTGCAGCCTCAGATATCCTTCATGGCCAGGCTTTGGATCCAATAAGAAAGCAGAGCTTTATCGAGTACTGTTTTTGAGAAGAATTATAAGCAGAGAAGCATATAAAGGGTGTGTTACCATTTTTTCCCTCATTAAGGTTTTATCATGGATTCATCCTGAAAGTCAAGCCACAATCACTCGATGTAGCCAGCCCATGGTTGGAGTGAGTGGAAAGCGAAGCAAAGAAGATGAAAAATACCTTCAAGCCATCATGGATTCCAATGCCCAGTCTCACAAAATCTTTATATTTGATGCCCGGCCAAGTGTTAATGCTGTTGCCAATAAGGTGAGACCATCTTTCAGTAATTAAGATTATAATTACAGTTTCATGAATCAGCTGAATTTGGCAGGTGCCACAGTGTAGGTAAAAAGAGCTCAGGCTCTATGGTGGGAAAGTTCTAGTCTTGGCTCTTCTACTTGATGGTGTTATTTAATCATTTTAGACCTCAGTTTGCTCACTGGTAAAATGAGAATAATAATAGCTAACAGAGTTGTTTTAGGAGGACAATCATTTAATAAAAAATAGTGCATAACCCAGTGCTTACTGATATAATAACCAGGTGTTCAATTTTTCTTAGATTCTTTCTCCCTTCTCTAAATGTGGCAACTAACTGAGCTTGTGACTGATGGATGTTCCTGTACAGAACTGCTGCAGGAATAGTGAAACAGTGTTCTCAGTGACAAGTGGTGCCCTCTTCTCACTGCCCTACACCTGAACAAGTTATTCAAGCTGAAGAACTTGGAGTTAGCTGTAGGAGTATTCCTGATTTCTCCTGTAGAATTAGTATTGTGGAAATAGAAATGCTGCTTCAGGTGACAAAATCTACTATAGAGGAAGGAAGGAGAGAAGAGATACAACTTAGTTTTAAGAAATTACCTATTTTTTAAAATCTCAATAAGCAATGGATATGTTTTATAAAAAATTAGTTAATGCATATAAGCAAAAAGAAGAAAATATTTTAAAACACCCAAAGCCCTGTAACTGCGAGAGAAATATTGTTAAGCCTTGGTAATACTTCCAGACCTATGTGTATATGCATGTACACATATTTGAAACAAAATTGGATAACTGTAACTTCCTTTTTTAAAAATTGACACTATTATTTCATATGCCAGTAAACATTCATCTGTAACATCATTTTAATGGTATATAGTAACTATAACAATTGTTGCTGGATATTTAGGTTGTGTGTGCGTGTGTGGTTTTTTTTTTTTTTTGCTATTATAAACAATGCTTGGATGATCATCCTTTTAAATTGTGGAAGATGTACCTAATTATTTCCATCCTGCTTAGCTTTTTGAGGGCATTGTGTGATCTAGGCATTCTCTAGTAAACTGTAAATATTTACTCTTAAAGGAGACAGGGGAGGTACATGGCTCCCTAAACAGCTATCAGTTAATACTTCAGTTACTCAGTTACGGGGCATAAAGATAAAGTGAGATAATGTGTATGTGAGGCCCATAGCCCAGGGACTGGCATATATTCTTCCAGTAATTACTTGTTTCCCTCCTTAAACTTTGTACCATGAATTAGCAGGAATGAGATTTAGGATTATTTTCTGGGATGAGAAGGGAGAGAGGAATATAAGGCAGAAAAGGTGGTAGGGTAAAATGTTAGATTCTTCCTCTTACTTCTTTTTTAGTTATTCCCACACATACGTCACTATGGCAATCCCCTTTTTTGAATATGCAAAAGCCTATGTCATTGTTGCTACAAGTTTTTTTATCTGCATAGTAAGAACATTTTTTAATAGCTTAATGAATTATTGTATGACAAATGCTCTTGCAGCCGTGACTCATGTTGAGAATTAAAACTTTGCCAGCCACTAAGTCCTCCATGTGTGCCTCACCCCGATCAATTTCCTAGCTTCTAGCCCTGCCAAAAGTAACCATGATCCTTTTATAGTAATCATTTCCTTGCATTTTTAAATACTTTTATTACCAAAGTGTACCTCCCTAGACTATACTTTAGTCTACCTTTTAAAATATTATACTTAATGTGTCTTTTAAGTCTCTCTTGATTTATAGTTCTCTCTTTGCCCATCTTTTTCTTTTTCTTGTATTTTATCTGTAGGGTTCTCATAGTTCGGATTTTGCTGATTGCATCCTGGTATGGTTCAACTTTCTACTGTCCTAAATTTCCTTCAGGTGAATCCAGAGGTTTATTCAGATTTTGGTTCAATCCCTTTGCCAAGGCTGTAGGTGGTACACATAATTTGAGGTTCATTCTCCTTTGTGGGATTTTAGCAGCTGTTGATGCTTAGTGCCTACATAATGTTAATTCGTTGGGAGTTAGAAAATGGTGATATTCTAATTTCATGATTTCTTTTTTAGCTATTAGTTGAATTTGTTCTATAAAGAGGTACTTTTTCTTATCCGTCTATATTTTGGATAACCAGCAGTTCATATAAGAAAGACAGAAAGGCTTGATTCTTTCTCCTTATTTACCAGATTTCCAAATAACAAATTTATTCTCTATCGTCTCTTAGGGTAACTGATTTTTTTTTTAAGTATCATTATGAACTCATGTATTTAAATGTAATTGACGTTTCCTAATCCGTAACATATTTTTTTTATGTTAAAAATGATCTCATCTTTGTTCAAAGGAAGTTGTTTCAGGTTATCTCCTGAGTTCTTTTGACATAACCATAGTAATCTTTGCTGTCTGGTGTGACAAGATGTACAAGATTCATCAGCAAATATACAAGATTTCCTAGACTGGAATAGCCATTTATCCATGAAGTTCTGGTTTCTACTAAAAGGAAATGGTATTTCAAACCATAATCTGGGTGCTAAGGATGTTCATTTGCTACTGGGATGGTTCTGTTTCTAGGTCTTTTCGGGGGACAGAGTTCGGAAATATTTACATATTTCTAAAGATAGCTGGGCATGGTGGCTCACGCCTGTATCCCAGCTACTCAGGAGGCTGAGGCCAGGAGATTGCTTGACCCCAGGAGTTCCAGGCTGCAGTGAGGTATGATCATGCCACTGCACTCCAGCCTGGGTGACAGAGCATGACCCTGTCTCTTAAGATAGAAAAAAAAAAGTATCCCATGAGTTCATATTGTCTCCTTTCTTCCCCACCAGCATTCCTGGTTCTTCAGGACACAGGTGATGATAAAATTAGTATGTCCCTTAATTAGTCATTTGCTTTATCCCACCACGGTCTCAAATAACAATACTATTACCACCATTAGTGGTATGATTACTGAAGTTAAATGTTATTTTTTTGCATTTGCTGTCTTCATTTTCCCCCATCTTAAAGATTCTTTGTATTATCTCTGCATTGTCAGAGTATATAGCTTTTAGACATTCTCCCTTTTATATACATTCTCTCTCATCTACCTCTTACTTCTACAAGTAACTACATATTTTGCGCTTACAACCAATGCAGCCAATTCTTATATGGATGTCCTTCTAGTCATTTTTTTTGGTCTAACGTTCTGTGGTAAGTATTTCAGGACGGGTTCCTGGGAACAACATTCTCCAAGTACTTGTGTGTTGACATAAAGGACACAGCAGCTTGTGTCCTTTATATCTGAAAGTCACTTTCACTGGATAGAAAGTCCTTGGCTCATATTTGATTTTCTTGAGTACCTTAAATACATTACTTCATTTTCTTTTGGCATGAAGTGCCAAAAACCTTGATGATAAACTAAATATTTTTTCCTTCTAAGTTACTCCTTTTGCCTGAATATCCAAGGGATTTTCTTCTTTCAGTGCAGTTATTTTGCCAGAATATGTCTTCATGTTAGGTGTTCCAGGTCTGCATTCTCGGGTATGCATTTCAATTTGTATTAATAATTTTCAATTTTTAAAAAAGATTTCACAAATATATCCTTTAATTATAGTTCTTAGTATTCTGTTTCCTTGTTTTGGCTTTCTTCTTCAGGCATTCCTTTGGCTCTTCTTTACCTATCTTTGTCATTTGTCACTTTCTCTTGAATCCTTTTTATGTCTTGATGATGTCTTTTGGTTTTTAAGATTTTACAGCACCTGTTTCTTTTAATTTAGTATCTATTGTATTTATTTGCTCTAGTGTTTCTTTTACTTTAGTCTTCATTTCTGAAATGATCTTTTTCTTTTGTTTTTAATTTTTCTCCAATTCTACCCCTTCATTTCTGAATTTTTTTAATTCTAATTTATGTTTGTTTTCATGCCTGATCTTATTTTACTTTATTTAATGAATGAATGAATGACAGAGTCTCACTTTGTCACCCCAGCTAGAGTGCAGTGGCATCATTGTAGTTCATAGCTCACAGCAACCCCAAACTCCTGGGCTCAAGCAATCCTCCTGCCTCAGCCTCCCAAGTAGCTGTGACTATAGGTATGTGACATGATGCCCTGCCAATTTTTCTATTTTTTGTAGAGCTGCAGTCTCACCCAAACTGATCTTGAACTCCTGACCTCAAGTGATCCTCTGCCTTGGTCTGCCACAGTGTTAGGATTGCAGGCGTGAGCCACCACACCAGGCCTGATCTTATTTTAAAATGTCTTTTGCTTGCTTGAAAATAGAAGGCTTTAGTTTTGAGGGGCACTGTCTGTAGGGATGTTATGAATGCTCATTCTCTTTTATTTTAGGATAGCTTATATGGGATTTGAACTTGATCTTCTGTTACTCATTTTTAGGTAAAATTAGTTTCCTGAACTTTTAACAGGATGAATGGTTTAGTTAGAAGGCGTGACACAAGTTAGGTGTACCCAGAAGTTATAAGAGCTAATGACTGAGCTTCCTCTTTTGTTTTTGTGTAATATTAAAATATACTGGAGCTTACCTTCTGACATTTCCTGGCTCCATCCTGTCTCTTATACCCTGCACCCACACCAACACCTATACCTACCGTAAGCCTAACTCCACCCCATCCCCACCCGCAACCACCACCACCTACCGTAACCCCGCCCCATACCCCATCCCTGCCCACATACATCCTTTATCTGGACCTTTTCTTCTGTTGTCTCTGTCCTGCTCAGTTTTGATCCTGCACTTAGAAGAGATGCCTGGCTAGTCAGGAGAGTGTATAAGGGTTATACTGCTTTGGCTCCTTTACATCTACTGTAGGCTACCTTTTATACTCATCAACTGTTGGAATGGACAGAACCCCTCCCAGTTTCAGCTGCACTTCTTAGATTGATCTCTTGTGCTTTCCTGTAGTTCTAGAAGAAAGCCAAACACAGAAGCAGAAATACTAAAAATTAAGACTCTTGGGGTTCTCCTGTTCTTGGTTCTGTCATACGTCCAGAAAGCTTTCTTCTACTTTCTCCCATGCACTAATGGCAGGCAGATTTTGTGGCTATTGGTGGTTTGCCCCACCTGTTGGTATTTTGGGTTTCAATGGACAACTTTCTTACTTAATTCTGTTTTTAATGTTTTTTGCATGTTTCGGGTTTTACTGTCTAGTTGCCCTTTAAAAAAAAATCACCTTTATGGATATACAATCCATTCACCATAAAATGCACTCTTTTAAAGTGCTCTTATTTTAAAGTGTCCATTTCAGTGTTTTTAGTCTGTTCACAAAGTTGTACAACCATCACCACTACATTTCATTCTATGTGTTTCTGTGACAGGTTCTATGTAGTTGCTACCACTGGTATCTTTCTAGCATTTGTTGCAACAAGTATGAATTGAAAGTCCCTCCACCCCTGACCTGTCCTATTTCCATTCTTCTGAAGTAATCCCTGTTAGCAGGGATCTACTGCAACCCTGTTAATTTTATAACCGTGCCTGATGTGAATCCAAACTATTTCCCAGACTTTCAGTGTCAGGAGGGAACTTCTGTTCTGTTAGCAATCTGTTGTTGGTTATGAGTTTGTGAGTTTTGTTTTCAAATGTATGGATCATATGATCACTTAATTTTATGTAACTACATTTACTACTCCAGGGTTTTCCTAATTTGCTCCTATTAGGGCTCTAAGAGGTGTGATTTATACATGAGTTAGGTAGGAGATTGGAGAATATTTTGTTTGTAAAATATAAAAAGATTAAGTCCAGAAAAATTAGGTTCTTCTTTCTAGCCATAGCTTATATTGAACACCAAATATTTTCTCACTCTGTTCTGAAGATATAGATTTAAGTGTTTGAGGATAGGGATGACAATAGCATTCTGTGCTTTATTTCGTTCTGTCTTTTTATTTAAAAAGAATTATGTGGTTTAAACCAGAAGCAAGTCATTATGATTGCAAATAATTTATTTTGCAAATATTAAGATTAAAATGAGGTGAAGAGGCAGCATGGTGAAGAAGCATGAGTGAACCAGATACGTGGTCCTTGCACATGGAAATTACAGTCTAGTCATTTCCATAAATATGAAGGGAAGTCTTCTGTAAGAAATTTTGTTTGGGTCGGATTTGAAATATGGTCAGAGAAAATTTAGTGCTTTAAAATGTTTAAATACTTTCATATATGTTTCACATTTAATTTTTATAACAGTCACATAAGAAAGTCAGGGTGAGTGTATATTCCTGTTTTATAAAGAAAAGCATGAGGTAGAGGGTGGTTGTGCTATGTCACGCTAAGCCATCCACATTTCCCCATGGTGTTTTCCTAGTCACCAGTAATATGTAGCATCTTTTATGCTATTGGATATTTTATGACACTTTTTCATGGACATCCACATACAGTGGATGTATATTCATATATGACTTACCATGACATGTGCCTTTTTCCAGGCAAAAGGTGGAGGTTATGAAAGTGAAGATGCGTATCAAAATGCAGAACTAGTTTTTCTGGATATCCACAATATTCATGTTATGAGAGAATCATTACGAAAACTTAAGGAGATTGTATACCCCAACATTGAGGAAACTCACTGGTTGTCTAACTTGGAATCTACTCACTGGCTAGAACATATTAAGGTGGGTATATGTTACTGTTTCCCAAACAAAGACTATCTCTACCCCTTTGTCTTTTCTTATAATTGAAATCAACATGAAGGTACCTTTCTAAAAAGTGAAAATAGATAAATGCTTTGATAATTAGTACTTCTAAATTTTGATGTTTGAATGAATTAGTTTCCTATATTGTACATTCAGTTCTGTTGTACTTCTTTCTTTCCCTCTTTCCCATCCTATTTGAATTCTATGCATCCTTCAGATCCTAGTTCATATTTCTTTCATAGTGTCTGCTCAGATCATACCTATTTACATTTTCTCTCAACTCTTCGCTTTCTCTTTCCATTTAATCATGTACTACGCTGTCTTTCATTTGTTTGCTTTTGTGTGTCAACCACTGTATATTGCTAACTCATGGAGACTGGGACTGGATAAATCACATTCCTTTTTTGCCCTCTCAGGAGTTAGGTCAGCACTATCTGTGTGAATATTCACTCAATAAACACTTGTTACATGATTTGTGAAGGTAAAACCATTCTGATTAGGGAAATTAGGTAGAGTAGTTGAATGAAGGATACTATTAGAGTGCTAAATCATTTGCAGAGTACTGTGTGAATGATAATTTATCTAACGTGCTAATTTAATACTTGCAGCATCAACTATTACTTCAGTTAATATTATTATATATATTTCAGATATAGTGTGAATTTCAGTAACATAACCTATCAACATATAGACTTATGTAACTACATATATATTAATATTATGAAGTAAAGGGAAATACAGTCCTTCATGTTAAGGAGGAGGAGACTTGTACTCACCTTAAAATCTTCAAAATTCAGACAAAATTGAAGAGAAGGCCAAACTGAACTAATAAGAATTATAGACTATTTTTATTGTTTTTCTTCTAAAAGCTTAGATGCTTGAATGTAGCAAAGTATAAACACTACTCAGTATGTTTATGTGGCCCATTTATTAAACTGTATAGTGTGCAAATGTAAAGCCATAGGACTTGATTTGGAACTTAGAAATTGCTGTGTTTGCTTCTGAAGATTAAGTAGCCAATTTCACTAGTGGGTATAACATTCTCTCCAAAATGCTAGCAGTAACAAAAACAAGTTTCCCTAGAGGTATGACATGCAGTTTGGCTGGATTATTTTCTCCTCCCCAAGTCCTTATCACATCCACACAGTTTACACGCTCACCCTCTTCAGATTGCTGCTCAAATATCACCTCCTCAGAGAGGTCTTTCCCAACCACTCCATACAAAATAACAGTTCTACCAGGACTCCCTGTACCCCATATGGAGCTTTTTCACTTACTGCCATCTGAAATGCCTTATATTTCCTTGTATATTATTTGTATCTAGCTGGCCTTGCCCAAGTAGAATGTAAACTTCAATAAGCAAGTCCTGTGTTCTGTTCACTACTCTGTCAACAGCACTGGAGCAGTGCCTGTAGTAAGGGACTCCATAAATGTTTATGTAGTGAATCAATGAAGATTACTGCTTTGGCTATCTCCTTCTGGTCAGTCTTAACTTAGCCTTTGGGTTAGTGATTCTTAAGTCTGTATATGCATTTGAATTATGAGTGGAACTTATTTAAAATGGATTAGGATCATTGGAGAGTGGCAGAATAGGGCCCAGGTACTTTAATGCTTACAAATGACCCTGATACATAGTCAAGGTTGAGATTGCTTCAGAGTACCCCATTTCTGGAATACGCCAACAGTTATGATAAAGGGAGGTTATCATGAGATTTCTATGCCTAGTAAATCTACTTTCTTTAATTCTCATCTATGTGTGTGGAACTATACTATTCTTTAAGTACAATATTAGGATATGACCATTGCAGAGAAGAGTGGGGCTATACTGTTCATTTTTGAAGATATTATACTTTTGTTTCTTTTTTGGTTATATATAATTCTGTTTAGTTTTAACTCAAGATCAATTTCAGAAAAGGTAAGTTATTTCACAAAAGGTTTCTGCATATTTAAAAAAAAGAGCTGAAGTTATTTTAGATACCAGTTAAATTGACATGCTAATATTAATCTGATAATTTTCATGCATACTGTTATAGTAAAGTAGCTTACCCTTAAGTTTATACTGTGCTTGCTGTGTGCTATGTGACCTATAAAAATCTTCAGTAAAAACAATAAAGTAAATGCTATACAATATTTTAAGAGAGATCCAGTTTTATTGCTTTAAGAGACTTAGTCTAATTTGGTTAGGTAAGCATTGTTTTAAATAATAGAAACATAAGGCTTCGGTTGCCTTGTTGATTATTTTTATTTAAACAGATGATGGAATAGTTGATGATTCTTAGAAGCAGATCTCTTTAGAACTTAATTCTTCTAACAGAAATCTTACTCACAATACTGAGTTGTTTAGCACCCAAAGGTACCTTTCATATTTCATTGTGTAAATAGGAGTCAGCATTTATGAAATCTATCTACTTTTGAAAACAAAATTTATATATCTTCTACCCTCTACAAAAATTTTTAGGAAGGGACAAATGTTTTTTTCCCCATGTTATTGAGACAGTCATCCCTACTAAAAGTGTAGTAATAAATTTTGAAAGGGAATATTTAATTTTTTAAAAAATTTCACTGAAAAAAATCTGTTTTCCAGCTTATTCTTGCAGGGGCTCTTAGGATTGCTGACAAGGTAGAGTCAGGGAAGACATCGGTGGTAGTACATTGCAGTGATGGTTGGGATCGCACAGCTCAGCTAACTTCCCTTGCCATGCTCATGTTGGATGGATACTATCGAACCGTCCGAGGATTTGAAGTCCTTGTGGAGAAAGAATGGCTAAGTTTTGGACATCGATTTCAACTAGTGAGTAAAGAACTTTAACTCTTAATGTGTCACATGCATTTCATGCAAGGGATGTGAAAATGCCTTTTTCTTTCATAAGATAACTCATCTAAACTTGATCATTTATCTGGAGGGGTAAAATTCTTATGAGGACTTTGTTTTAGAAAGCATTAGGATACCCTAATGTGACTCTGCAGTCTGCAGCCAGAGCTAGCTATTTTTCAGGCATCTGACCCAGTCTTTTCTGTGATCTCTACCAGGAAATACCAGACAGCATTCAGTGATGTCCATGGGTGTTTCTACCTCCAAATGACAGTTCAAGATTAGTATGACGGTTATGGAATCATAAGGCACTTTTAGCTTTTCCTGTGGACTTACAAAAAGACAACAACGGCTTAATTATTATTCTTAAAGTAGCTATATAAAGTAGCAGTGCTCACAAAGAATCAAGGTCTAAAAAAATCAGGCTGGGAGTAAAAGAAAAATGAAGTGAAAATAAAAGTTTAGTTCAGAGTTAGGAATAAAACATAGCTTTTCTATTATGCTTCTTAAGGTACTAAAACTAAAATGACCATATGTATGGTAAGTGTTGCGGATAGCTTTATGGAAATGACAAATTTTTGAGCCCTCTGTATGGTTCAAAATTTATTTTGATGTTATCAAATTTCAGAATTGGAAGGACCTCAGAATCCAGGCATTCATTGTTACTTGAATGTCTTCTGTGGTGCCCCTATCAAAGGATGGTTTAGTTTCTCCATTATCACCTCCAGAAATAAGCAGCACATCCCTTTCTGAGGCTATCCAGTCTCACTTTAGAAAGTCTACCTACTAGAAACTTCTTCCTCATAGTGAACTGAAATTTTCTTCCTGTTGTACCACATTCCCCTTTGTAGAAATGAAGAACAAATATGACTCCTTATTCACATCAGAAAGCCCTTAAAATATTTGAAAGTAGCTGACTATGCACATCACCTGTGAGGTTCAGTTTTCAAATTTAACATCCTTTTTCTTCATTCTTTTCTCATTCTAATGCTGCCCTCACCATCCCAGTTGTCCTCTGGACTTTGCTCATGACTTTCTGCAAGCGTGGTGCCCAGAACTAATCACAGTTCCTTAGAGGAATGGGGCTATTATGTCCCTTTTAAAAGATACTATCCTTTTTCCTGCGCTGTCTAGTTATATCATACTTTGGTTTCATGGAGCGTTTAATTAAACATTCAAGTGGTTTTTCAGCTGTGCTTCTGCTAACGCTAAATTGGGAATCAGAAAACTTGGGAACAGTGACTTTGTGGGCCTTCTTCTTCTCATCTGTTGTTCACAGGTTATAATCATAGAATTTAGAGTGAGGAGTAGGACTAATTTCCCAGGAAGGAGAACAGGGGAGCAAATTGTCTGGGTGCCAAGGAGCAACGAGTGTGGCAAGAGTAGAATTGAGGGAGGGGGCAATTTGGAGAATCATGTAGAGGGGAGCCAGATAGTCAGAGGCCTCAAAGCCACTGAGAGCTTGAATTCTGTGCATTTTCCTAGGTTAGTTGAAAGACTTTCTGAAAGGTGTTTGCCCTGATGCTGTCCCTAGCATTAACCTTCAGTATCCAATAGTTACCAGAGCACACTAGCAGTGTTTATAAATACAGTCGTCCCTTGGTATATGCAGGTGATTGGTTCCAGGACCCTCTGTGTATATACCAAAGTCTGCACATACTCAAGTCCCATCTGTCCTGCGGAACCTGCAGGACAAGTCGGCCCTCTGTACACATGGGTTTCGCATCCTGCATTCGACTGAAAAAAAATCCACATGTAAGTGGTCACATGCAGTTAAAACTGTGTTGTTCAAGGGTCAACTGTAACATGAAAGGAACAGACATCTAAGGTTAGTCTCCTCTTTTGAATCTGAACTGTTAAATAAAATTGGTATCTATTTAGATGGCTCACATTTTTCAGTTCTCTATACTATGTACTTATCACGAAAAGACCATTTAAAACAAACTCTTCAAAGAATGAAACTTCAGGCAGCCAAAGCTGCATATGTTCATATAAATATGTTCAAAATCATAAATGTTTCCAGCTGTTTGAAATTGCTATGGATCCCTAAACTACTAACTCTGGTTACCTACTCCATTTTTTTCCCTAGTTGTATTCTGAAAGCCAGAATTTTGACAATTAAAGGACCATCCAGTCAAGAGGTTATGCTCACATGGTTAACGCAGGGTAATGATTCTCAAACTTTTTGGTTTCAGGACCCCTTTACACTGTTAACAATTAACGATGACCCTAAAGAACTTTGTTTACATGAGTTTTATCTATCAGTATTTGCCACATTAGAAATTAAATTGAAAGAATATTTCTTGATTTGAGAAAATAAATCTATATTAATATTTTAATGAAAAATAATTATATTTTCCAAACAAAATGAAGATTAATGAGATGATTGGCATTGTTTTTACATTTTTTGCAAATTTCTTTAATTGAGTCTGGCTTAGTAGAAGCTAGGTGAATATACATCCACTTTTACATTCAGTCTTTTGTGACATGCTCTGTTGTTTTAAGTATATGAGGAAAATCTGACCACACACAGATATTTAAGTGGAAAAACAAAATATTTTAATAGCTTTTCCAGGGAACTGTGGATATTCTTTGATATTATGCCAAAACTTGACAAATGGTAGTTTCTTATAGGTTAGAGGTAATATGGAATCCAAAATCAAATCTATGAGTTTCTTGTTGTTTCTTTCACTAAATTTCATTGGTCTCTCTTGCACTTTGAATAGATCTTTTATATTTGCATGATTGTGTAACATCATGTATTGGTTATTTGGAAAACATTGGCTTACTGAGTTATATAGATCTTCCAAATGTTAATATATTTCATTATATAATGTCATAAAATCACATTTAATATCATCACTGATTTTTATCAGGAAAGTCTTCAAGTATTGTCAAGCTAATTGTGTTGGGTAAAATTCCAAAAATTGAATTTTCACCCACCCAAAAGCTTGAATTTTATGATTGAAAACAAATACTGTCAGTTGTTTTCCTTAAGGTAATAGATTCACTTTGTACGTTTTCAAAAAAATGTCTGCAAGTCTTATTAGCCACAGTTCATGTATCAATTGTTCTTTTCAGTAAAAATGATCTTCCATGAAAAAGTGGTATTTCCTATAATCCTATGTCAATATGCAGCAGAAACACATTATTGCGTATTTCCTATTTTATCACAGAGGATATTAAAAAATACCTACTCAGGGGGGGTGAGATTTAATTTAATAAAATGTTTTTAACTGCTTCAGCAAGCACACTGGCAATAAGCGACATTGACTTTTTCTTTCATGTAACTGCATGTCTGGCAGGGCAGAGTTACTAGAGCAGTTTGATGCCATTGCCTTGCTTGATTCCTACTAAGGCACCAGAAGTTTTGTCCTTCATCACTTCTGCACCATTAGTGCAAATGCCAACATACTGTAAAAGACAAATAGTATCTTCTGAAAATCTTATGAAAATACTTTTGATCTCACAAGCTCCTGGAACCACACTGTGGACCACATACATATTTATACCTGCTTTGGGGTAAGGAGCAGGATTGTGTTTCAATCATCTGGGTCAAAGGTCCTCAGAGGAGAAAAGAACTGAGAAACTGCTAGGGTGACTGCATACTTGGAAGGTGAATGTCCAGCGTTTTTGAAAAGTTCTGTAAGATTTGTGCTAATGTTGATCCTCCTAATGAAGACATATTTAGAGCTAAGTGGGATGGCATACCCTTCACTCACTAAACAAGGCCTTGACAGAGAAGTATGCTTTCCAAGGCCAGTGTATAAGTAACTATTATTTATCAGAGGGAAATTAATTAAATCTCCAGGATAAAAATCTGGGCTGAGATTGACTGCTCCTATCTTCCATTAGCAACCTTTTAAGATCTCGGTTTCGTTTATTAAACAAAGTGGTAAGCCCTACTATATGCATCTCATGTCAGAAAAAATCTGGCAGTTTGTACATCAAAATGTTAATAGAGGTTTCTGCTTGATAGGATTATGGGTGATTTCTGCTTCCTTTGCAATGCTCTATAAAAAGATTTTCTGAAAGTTTGTGGAATATTGACCAAATATTATTTTTATTGAAAAATTATTTCCATTAAAAACTGAAAAATCTCACAAAGCTCATATAATATTTCACTGTCTTTGTGTCAGAGAGTTGGCCATGGAGATAAGAACCATGCAGATGCAGACAGATCGCCTGTTTTTCTTCAGTTTATTGACTGTGTCTGGCAAATGACAAGACAGGTAACTTATCTGGAATATTTATTCTTATCTCTTTTAAACTGTACAGTTAGAGTTGGTGTAAAATGGAAATTCTTATATTAATTGTTTCCAGGTAAGAACCACTGTCATTATAAATTATGTTAAAAGGTTATTTGAGGGTAGTATTAAAACACTCGACAATTTGATCTCATTAGCATTTCAACAAGTGCCATTGATAACCCTAAGTTATTGTGTTCTTTTGAACAAATAGTGTTAAACACCAAAAGCTCATCTATACCTTGCTAGAGGAAGTGAAGAAATAAGCTAGGAAACTCAAACAAAATAAAATCCTACGTTAAGTAATTTTAATTGTTTTAAGGGAAAAATGTGTTTAGAGGGAAATTATAACAAAGTAGATATGTAATAGATTCAGCTCTTTGTTTTTAGGCATGGATAGGGCTATTACATTTTTTAGACCTAACAACTTTGTAACAAATCAGATTTGAAATGTTAATGTAAATGGATTTAATCTTTTGGGAAGATACCAGAGGAGACTGAAAAAAATACATTTATTATGAGATCACTTCACTAATGAGGCAAAGGGTCATTGTCTTCAAAATATGATTTAACTCAAGAAAAAGCACCTCAAAACCCTAGAGTTGAATGCAGCTTATTGGTGTTATTTATTCATGCAAGGGTTTATTGGACCTCAAATAACTGAATTGTTTTTACTTAGATTGCCACATGAATTTAAAGTAGGGCAGGTGCTGGCTCTGTTGGCTCTAGCTAGGATCATATTTTAGCTTTAATAAGATACTACTTTATTAAAAAAAATTAATGGTGATCCTCGGGTGAAATGTATTAATTATATATTTAATAGTTTTTTTCCCCCCTCATAAGCATTTCAACTTGAATGGTTTATTTTGAACCTGCTGGCTTAAATGAAGCATTGTTTGTAGATGAGACTACAATACGATGAGGCTGGTATTTTAACATACATACTGAAAAGGTGTATACGATTCAGTGTTGGGGGGAGTAGGGGGAAGGAGAAATGCTATGTACTTAGTTTTACAGTGTTTACCAGTTCTTAGAGTAGCTTTGAATTTTTCCTTTGGAATTGCCTTTGAGTCAGGGCATCAGCTACATAAATCCCTACCAATCCTTTTTTTTTGGATATTTGACTAGGAACAATAGGATCCACTTTTGACCATTACCGTATTTGATTTTAAATAACCTTTGAGTATTGGCAAAATCAAACATGCCATCAAAGGGTAGGGAAGTTCTTTGAAATCATGGCATCACTGAGGGTTACATGTACTGCTTTCCTAGGTGAATACCTTGACGGGGCAGTGTGTTTCAATAGTTCTGGTATGTTTGTTAGAAAAGAAGATTCAATCACACTTTCTAATGTCTTGCAAAGAATACATAATGGTCTATGGCCATACCACTCTGAACATGCCTGATCTCATCTGATCTTGGAAGCTAAGCAGGGTTGGGCCTGGTTAGTTTTTGGATGGGAGAAGAGTACATATTAAATAATACATTTATTCCTCAGTAATATTGTTAACTCTATATGCTACATATCTAAAAACATTTTAACCCTAATTTTAAGCCTGGTTACTAAGCCTTTATTTTATGCATCTGTTGTAGTTAATGTTTTTCTGTATATTTTCTTCTTGAACATAAAGCATGTTAGCTATTCATGTTTATTAGCAATCATCAGTTTTATAAATAATTGAATACTAGTATAAAGACTTAAATAGCATACTTCTCAAAACAGGACCAATTATGTTGTAACTAGCCAGATTCTATGCCTCTCCCCCTCCTTCCATTCTCATCTCCATCTCCTCAGTGCTGGGATCAGGAAGCAGTCATTGAAGGGTCCTTTCAGATTTTAAACACATAAAGAAAACAAAATATTCCTCCTCTTAGGATTTTAAAAGCAACAGCAGCAGTTAATGCTCTGCTATTTTAGTTTCATTGTGAGGAAATGCCTACTGATTAAGCTGTCTTCTCATAACTGAGCTAACAGTTTTGCCAAGAAGATGAAAAACTAATCGCAGGCTTACATCCTTGGGATTGCTATTTAATGGATTCAGGATGCACTTATATTTGGCTAATAATAAGGCTGTTTAACAGTGTGAACAAATACAGACGATGAGATTTGTTTTTTAAATGAATGTTGCTAGCAATGCTTTATCACCTGTTTCATTCAGCTTCACAGCCACAAAAATTATTCAAAGCCTACTAATTGCCCTTTGGTATTAGGACATTAAATGCGAAATGTCCGATTTCAAATCAAAAGTGTAGTTTATTATGTGTCAAAAAAGAGGCAGTACAGTTAACCAAAGTATGTGCCTAAACTGTCAACACAAGTTTTGCCATCTTAACAGTAGCTTGTTTGTGCCAGCAGCGAGGAAGCTAGTGGCAATGAAATCGCAAAAGGCATTTTCCACAGCTTGTTGAGAACTGAATATTTTTCCTTGCAAGAAGTGGTTCAAAGCCTGGAAGAAGTGGTAGTAAGTTGGTGCAAGGTCTGTTGAATACCATGGATGACAAAGTTTCCAAGTCCAGTCTCTGCAGTTTGAGTAGAGTTGTTTGTGCAATATGTGGTTGAGCATTGTCTTCCAAGAGGATTGGCCTGTCTCAATTGACGAATCTCAGCTGCTTAATCGCAAGCATCACCTTCATTTCATCCAATTCATTACAATAGACATCTGTTGTAATTGACCAGGTTTCATGAAGCTGTAGTGGATAATACCAGCGTTGGACCACCAGACACCATTAGCTTTTTTTGATGAATATTTGGTTTTGGACTGTGTTTTGGCACTTCATCTTTATCCAACCATGGTGCCGAACACTTGTAATTGTTGAAAAGCATCCATTTTTCACCGCAAGTAAAAATACAGTGTGGAAATGGTTCACCTTTATGTAGTGACAGCAGAGAAAGGCAAGCTTCGAGATGATTTACATTCTGACGTTCATTTAATTCATGTGTAACCCACTTACCCAGTTTCTTTACCTTGCCAATTTGTTTCAAATGGTCCAATATCGTTGGAATAGTAACGTCAAACCTTGCTGCTAATTCACAACGCGTAGGATGAGATGGATTCGCTTCTACTACAGTTTCTAGCTCATCATTATCCACCTTAGTTTCAGGTCACCCATGTGGCTCATTTTCAAGATTAAAATCACCAGAACAGAACTTCTCAAACCATTGACATACTATGTGTTCATTAGTCACATCCTTCCCAAACACTTCGTTGATATTTCGAGCTATCTGTGCAGCATTGGTTCCACAACAGAACTCATATTGAAAATAACGCGAGTTTTTGACTTATCCATGGTTTCACAAAAACTGCTCTAAAAAAAATGTGAAAGATAATCACAAGCCAAAATGTATGTTTGAAAGACTGAGAATGTACCTTCACAATAAAAATAAACCAAGAGGTGTCAAAGTGAAATGTCAGAGATATCAACTGTCAAACTTAGTACTTAAGGAAGTTGGATATTTCATACTCAATAACCTAATATTTGAGAAATCTACCATGTTACCCTGCTTATAGCTTCCTAGTATTTAGGAAACTTCAAGACAAAGTTGTTTTCATCCCTATCCTTTTTGCATGCTGTTTATACAGTTTTCCTCCACTATAAAGGTAGGGATCCTTCTAAGAAATAAAAACTTGGAAACAATATATATTTTCCCAATCTGCAATCCAAATATTCATAGAATTTCTTTCACACATAGCCCTATAATTGGTTCAGTCTTGCCTGAATAATGTTGAAATGTTAAGTGGATAGGATGGATTAAACTAAACCTTTTAACTTTCTGTGGTGTCTAATTCTTCATTTGACAGTCCTCCAAAATTGTGTTGTTTAAAGTTAAGATATCCAGTTAAACCCTTAGCCAGGTTTGGAGAAAGGGTGAATTTTCTTAACGTTAGAAAGATGCTGCCAAAGTAGCAGATTACAAAGAATTCTGGTTTGATTAGATGTTCCTTGAGAAGTAAGTAGGTTGGCTTGTTGAAAACTTAAAAATCTTACTATGTTGTTTGTGGTCATTTTGGCAGAGAAAGGATCAGAGTTGCCAGAATTGCCCGAGTCAAAATTCAGCAGCCTTCAAGTTTAGGGTTAACAGATATAGAAGATACAGAAACATCATGGTCAGACCTTTCTAACTCTTACTGCAGAAAAAAAGGAGATTCTGGAAATTACCTCAAAAAGTGATAAAGTGATTTTTGAACAGAAAACCATAAGATTAATGCCAAAATGGAATCATATAATTTCACAGGTTGTTTAATTTAATTTTAAACACTATTACAAAAGATCTACCCATGACAAAGATGAATATGCTTGAAACAAATGTTTACTTTTGTGTGTTTGTGGTGTTCAATTTGCAGTTTCCTACCGCATTTGAATTCAATGAATATTTTCTCATTACCATTTTGGACCACCTATACAGCTGTTTATTTGGAACATTCCTCTGTAACAGTGAACAACAGAGAGGAAAAGAGGTAAAATCTCCCTCTACTATCTCCACTATGTACTTTTCCCTGCAAGAACACACTCTGTAATAGATTTCAACTGAAGCTGTTCTTCTGGGTGACTTTTTGAGGTCATAATTTATATGCTGTAATATGATTACGTCCTTCCATACACCTGGACCTGATCTATTTTAGAATATCTCTGTCACAAGCTGTCCATTGAGTTATGGGTAGGAAGTAGTGTCTACTAAAGAGAATTGAAGTATGTGAATAGAGTACCAGTGTACCAGTTTTTCTGTGCAGGTTGGAAATCTTTCAAAACAGGTGCAGAAAAATATATTTAACAGAAAACACCCATTTGAATGGGCAGCTCAAATTCCCATATAATATTCTCCATACGTATGAGACATTTGAGATTAAGTTTTTAGGTTTTTTAAAATTATAATTTAATACTGTAAAAAATTCAAACACTGAAAAGATACTGTGTAGAAAGTTAAAATTTTTCATTACTGCACTCCCCAGAGATATCACTGTTACGTGGGGTTGGTATTGTTAAGAAGAAACGGTGTTAAGGATTACATTTCAAATTTTACTTCTGTCTTTCTCAGAATACATCTATTCTGTGTATGAACACCTTAATCATCTTGATTGGTATCTCTCTCTGCATCAACTTGTATTCTAAAAAAAAAAGTGGTTATAAAGTAGTTTATTCTTGCTTTTTATAAAAGCATAATGGGAAAAAGTGCTTGCACTGAAGCCCAGCTGCTGGGTTCAAATCTTGGATCTATCAAAATTACTGTGTAACTTTGGGCAAGTTAATTTCTGCTTCTATAAAATAGGGACAATAATACTTATTATTGTGAAGATTGATTAAACCATACAAAATACAAGGACTGCTATGTAGTAAGTGCTTCCTAGACTGTTCCTTGAAGGCAGGCTTTGTTTTTAAGTTCACTCATCTTTAGTGTCTACTATGCAATAAATATTTTCATGCATAGTAGGCACTTAATAATTTATACAATGTTAGATAACTAAGAATAGCATAACTAAGTTCAAAAGATACTTTCATCTTTTGAGAGCCTTGGAAAGATTCACTGTATTTTGATTAAAATTTTTTTTTACTGATATAATTTGCATACCATAAAATCCACTTTTAAAGTGCAGAGTTTAGTGGCTTTTAGTATATAACTGCAGAGTCGTGCAACCATTACCATTATTGAGTTTCAGAATGTTTCATCACCCCAAAAGACCTGTTAGTAGTTACTCCCCATTCTTTCCTCCTCTCAGCCTCTGGCAAACACTAATCTTTTTTTTCCTCTGGATTTGCCTCTTGTGGACATTTCATATACATGGAATCGTTCTGTATGTGACCTATGTGGCTGGCTCCTTTCATTTAGTGTTTTCAAGGTTCATCAGGTTGTATTATTTTTCTATGGCTGAGTATTATTCCCTTATGTATTTTATTTATTCATCAGTTGGTAGATTTTTGGGTTCTTTCCACTTTTTGGCTATTATGAATAATGGTACTTGATTATCTGTGAAAAGGATTTTGTACAGACATGTTTTCAGTTCTGCTGGATATATACCTAGGAGTGGGATTGCTGGGTCATATGGTAACTATGTTTAACTCTTTGCGGAACTGCAGACTGTTTTCTAATACCCTCTGGTTTATCACTGAAGTCTCCAAGAACACTCCCTCTAGAGAGATTTTAATGACCACAAAATACCTCTTTACAAATGTTGTCTAATATATAAATGGCTTATGTAGTGGAGTCTTTACCTATTTTTCCTTCTTATAGAATCTTCCTAAAAGGACTGTGTCACTGTGGTCTTACATAAATAGTCAGCAGGAAGACTTCACTAATCCTCTCTATGGGAGCTATTCCAATCATGTGCTTTATCCAGTAGCCAGCATGCGCCACCTAGAGCTCTGGGTGGGATATTACATAAGGTGGAATCCACGGATGAAACCACAGGTATGCACGCTGCAATACACAATGCGAGTTTTCATTGACAAAAATACAACTTTATTAGATTTGTCTCCTTTAAAGCAACTGGAAAAATTATCTGTGCATATTTAAAGCTTTCTCCTCTACCCGGTAATAGTTATAATTGTACAGTAGAAAAAGCACTACACTGGGCTAAGGTAATCACTATATCTGACTCTTACCTTGATTTTGTCTCTTCTTCCCTCCTCTCTCTGGATAGCTTTTAGGGCTATTGTAGTAAGTTGAAGAAAACAGCTTTAGGAAAGTAAAAAGCCTAGCAAAATTCCAGTCCGTTGTGAATAGGTTATGGAATATTTACTACTTAGAACTGTTCAAGATTAAAAATCTACAACTAAATGATTGATAGGGAATCTTTTGAGTATCGTCTTTGTTCATTAGTTGTTTTATTTGGAGAAGCATTGGTTTCAGGAGCATCTCCACAGAGGGTATTCTCTGGAAATACTTGGGGGCACTGGGAGAGCCAGTGAAAGAGCAGTAGTGTCAGCAGTGGTGTCAGTGGTCCCTAAACTTAATTTCTGGGTTGGAAAGGTAGGATTGGTCCCAGTGGCTAAAAAAACACACACTGCAACATTTAGGGAATGACTTGACCTCGAGTTTGGTTAGGATTATGTAGTTGAATAATTCTATGTTTGCTTTTATAGGAACCTATTCACAGCAGATATAAAGAACTTCTTGCTAAACGAGCAGAACTTCAGAAGAAAGTAGAGGAATTACAGAGAGAGATTTCCAACCGATCGACCTCATCCTCAGAGAGAGCTGGCTCTCCTGCACAGTGTGTCACTCCTGTCCAAACTGTCGTATGAAGCACTATTAGATCAGGGGCATCACTGCTATGAACTCTTGATTACAGTGGCAGCTTTACGAGTAGAAAGCCTTCCGAATTTAGAACCCATCTATGAGAGAAAGTTCAGCCGCTTTATTTATTTTAAATCTCTCTAGGATGTGTTTAGAACTGTGGCAGTGCAGATGGCTTAAATGAAATAACTCCATGTGTAATTACATGATTATGACACTAATCTTATAAGTCACTCAAAGAATATTAAAATACTTTAATCCTGGATCCACGGTGGGAATAAATTTCTAATATTAAAAGAAGAACACTGTCTTACAAATTTCAGCATGTTGTATGATGAAAACACAATCACTTTAGAAATATACCTTTTGATGGGAGAGAGCTCATTGTACAGAGTAACATCCCAACATTGAAATTCTGTGGCATCATATATATTGGGCCTTGATGTCATGACAGATCAAAATCATTTGGTAGCCCTTTCTCCATCATAGGTTTTTCTTTTTTGTAGTAATTGATTCACCTTGATCACTTTTCACCTTCCATATTCTTCATATAGTGAAAAGCAAAGTTGATGATATTATGGTGTAGTAGTAGTTGAAAATTATCACTGTAATTATTACATAGTTATTTAAGATGTATTAGATAGCTGTTCCAAAATGATGCCTTATAGATGTGTTTGGGGGAAGATGAATGGGAGAAAGTGGTGGTCATTGAGGAGTTCAAAGAATTCCACACCCTTCAATTAGCTTCCATTTGCTACATTACTAGAAACATCATGGAAAATATTTTAAAAACTCATTATTTACCCTACTTTATTTTACTTATTTTTTGTATGTCCAAACATACAGAAGCTAATTGGCAAGTTTTTAAACAATTTAAAAATCTTACTAGGACTGACTTTTCCTGAAGTCTATATAAATACTTTACGGTAAGAAGTACTATGCTCAAGTTTTACATTAAATATATTTTCCTTTGCAAATTCTGTAATTCCACTGAATGATTAGGTCTACCAAACGACATACTGCATGTAAAAGATATATTACAATCTCAATGCCAGTAAAAGAAATCTTGCTACACTGTTGGCTTGCTACAAGTCAGAGTTCGGTGCTGGTATAAACATTTGACTCCCCGATGTATATTTTACTCTGTATAAGAGCCATATGTAATGTACTGTAACAAAGGAGCTTCTTGTCCCTCGGTCTTTTAATTAAAAGAAATTTCAACTGACTTTCAAGTTTCTTTTTTTTGCATAAATGTTATTTGGAAAAGTTTTGAGGAGTACACACCTCAAATGGAAGTGTTCAATATCAATCTGTTTTTCTCTAGCACCCAAATCAAACACTAATCAAAACTACAGTACTTTTTTTTACTCATTATGTCACTATACAGATAGTCTGAACCTTAGCCCTGCTTGGTTTTGCAATGAGAAAAATACAGTTTTTGTTAGTACATTCAATATTAGCAAAATCAGTACCAAAATGATTTGGTCACTGTGTGAAATTTGTTATAAGAAAATTTTTAATGCCACTTAAGTGGCCAATCAGTATTAAAGCTAAATTTTCTACTCCAAATATTTCACAAATCCATTCTCTTCTCTCCATTCCATCATTTTCCTCATCTAAACCTTTATCATCTTGGTCTGATTACCACATAAGAGAATGTAGAATGGCTGAAGAGATCAAGAATTTAAAGCTTCTACTCTTAATATACTTGCATCTACTTCAAATTCCACTCAAAAGCCAGAGAAATCTAAGTGTAAACCTTCCAGTGGCTTTCCTCACCTTCTGCAGGAGTCGCCAATATGCAGTGCTTGCACTTGAACATTTAAGATAGACCACAGGTATGTGTGTGGAAGGGGCAAAGGAGTGCTTACAATTTTTATGTATTTATCTACATGAACAAAACTTTTAAACCGACAGTTATGTTTTACAACTTTACACTTCTATGACTGTTGGTTGTGCATGCGTATTTTCACAATTCCCCCATATAAACTGCAGATTCTTACTTTCCCACTTTTGTCCATTCCATCTTGTGGACCTGGAACAACTGTTCTCCCTTGCAACTAAGTCCTATTCTCCAGAGTTTAGGTATCATCTCTTCCTCTGGGAAGTCATCCTTGATTCATCACTCCCCTCTCTGCCATGCTCCCCTCCCCGGTCCTCTGTGCCCCACAGCGCACAAGGCTATTACCACTACATTCACCACGCCGTATTGAAATGAACAATTCAGATGTGTACCACCAGTCTGTAAACATACCTTTCTTACTCAGCTTGGTATCCATGTTGGCAGCTCAGACATAGAAGATACTTGTATTTGAAACAAACTGCAATAAAGTTCTGCTGTAACATAAGTGGATGGATAACGCATCCCTCTACTGTAAACTCTCAGATAAGAAACTTGAAGCAGTATTTTCTTGTTTTTAGTTCTCACCTGAGAGTATCAAAAGCTGGAGCAGTTATTTTAGTTTGAATCCTAGCTGACACATGGGGTGGGATTTAGCATCATTCAATCACTCTTCTTCTAATTAGGACTCACAGCCACTAAAATTCAAATGACGGTTATGCAATTTAATGACCTGAAATTCAAAAAAGGAGATAACAAAAGTTTAATAGTTGAAATAGTGGTTGAGACACAAATATTTACCATGTCACCAGAGCAGTGATTCTCACTTTCCTCGGGTCTAAAGACTCACTGTTGTGAATCTGATCAAGGTATAAACCTGCTCATCAGAAAATGGCACACATTAGCAAAACTTTACATACAACTTTAGGAGATTCACAAATAACCCCAAATCTACTGAAGGATCTTAAATTAAGGACTCTCAACTGTAGAAAGGCTTGACAAGCCTAGCGCTCAGGTAGCCACAATTCATTCTGGCTGTCTGGATATAATCCTAGACAGAACTCCATCTCAATTAATTCCAGGAGAGGCATATAAAAGGCATTCCTGTAATATGTGGCTAATGTGTCCATTAGCTCACTTATATCATGAGGTAATTCAATCTTGTTGGGCTTACTTTCTATATAAGCATGAGAATGGGAAATTAAGTACCAAATACTATACATTATATAGCTTCTCTCTATAATTTCTCATAATTAATAATGTCCTATTTAGAACTGTATTTTTTGAGAGCTGACACCAAATAAAGCCTTTATTAACAGGCTGTTAAAGTTTCAGTGCTTCTTAAAAGAGCTGCTTTATTGACTTAAGTGGCAAATTTATAAAAAGTTAACATTTCTTGATCTAAAAATTATGATTTACATTAACATAATGACAATTGTGTACAGTTCATATTACATTCATACTGTACACCAGTAAAAGCAAATATTAAAGGGGTTCTCTAAATTTCAAGATTAAAAACCATAATGCCTTGACTGAATAGCATGATTATAAACAGATATTACTTAAAAACTCCAACTGTATATATGCTTACAACATCCCCCTATTTTCTCTTCCACTCTGACTTCAAAATCTCATTTCATTGACAATTTGTTTATACTTTTAAAATTCTTTCATAATTTTTACAGGCAGTTCATTGAAAATGATTGCTTGGGTCTTTAAAAAAATTTTTAACAGTGGATTAAAAAGCAATACTAGGGCATTTAATACTGATCAATGTTTGAAATGCCAAAATGCAAAACAAAACCGAAAATCCTCTTAAACATATATATAAATATTTAAATATGGAAAACACATTGAATATAGAAATATTGATAAACCTCCATCGATAGTAGAAACAAAGTATATTTAATGGTTGTATTGGAAAGGGGAAGTGGGCGCTTCATGCCATGGGAAGATTTAAAAATGAGACTTTTCAAGCAAACACTGCCTATGGGATAGTCTCATATTTTGAAAATTTAAACCTAATTTTATTACATATGAAGAACTATTTTAAAAAATCACATCCACAAGTAAAAAATTGGTAATTTCTTTACAAAGTGCAATAGATCAGTACAGCAAATTAATCTCAAAGAAACAGATTATGTGTGGCTCCTCAGGCTTTAAAACTCCCCTGGTTTCCATGTAAATGGTTTAACATTTAGTCATGTTGCCTACACAAAAAGCCAGTGTAATGAAGCTTGGGTTCCTTAATACCTGCTACTAATTAATTCCAACATAAGTGAGTATGAGTAAAGTGTCAACATCTGATTGATGAGGTACAGATTATCTGAATAAAATTTATGACCTGGTCCAACTCAGTAATCCCAACACAAACTATTGCTTTGTAATGAATTCTGTATGGTCTGCATGTCCTTCAGTAACTGAAGATTTTTCCTGCTTTTTTCTCCAGGTCTCAGTTTGGTACAATCCTTCTTATTTGTGGTCCCTGTGATTCCAGAAGAACGGCTGCTGCTGTTTCCTTCTTCATCAAGAGTCTTTTTGGTAGCTTTTAATTCCTTCTTCTGCTTCTCTATCTTCTGTTTCTCCAGCTATACCAAATAAACAAGGCAGGGAAAAACAAGAATTTAAAGGAAACATCCGCTTCTGCCAACCAGTACTTTTAAAAATAACACTCTTACTAACTGAAACTCAAGTAATATAATCTAGGTGTATTTTCTTAAAGGCTTCAAAAATCTATTGCACTAGTCATTTAACACCCAGTGCTTAAAACATGTAACAATATACAAACAAGTAAACAAGAGTAAACATATCAATTCTGGTATCATAAAGTATTGTTTGGCCAAAGTACAGAATAGGGTGAGTGAAAAGCAGGGGGCGGGGTCAGTTGGACAAAGGACTCATGGAGGAGAAAAAAAATCTAACACGGGGAAATGAAGGATGGGAAGGATTTTCACAAATGAGGGAGAGGCATTCTAAGAAACTAGTCTGAGCAAAGAAGCATATTCCAGATGCATGAAGCTATGAAAAGGATTCTTAATTTTATTCTTGTTCCATTATTTTTAGAATAATTTAAAATAGGGGAGCTTTAGTTTTACTTTAGCTAAACTGCTGACATGTTTGTGTTCCATGAGAATAAAGTTAAGTTTAATTAGGACAAGCAACAAATTAGACCATTAGTCCTATAGGCATCATTTGCTTACATTTCTTTTTTAAACATGAACTTTGGAAAAAGTGCTTTAAAAAAGCCCAGGTTTTGAAGTTGAAAAGATCCAAGTATGTATCTCAGCTCTGCCATTTACCAGTGAGCTAGTCCTTCCTTGGGCAAGTTATTTAATTTCACTGAGGTTATATGTGCACTTCCCAGAAAACTTGGCCCAGCACCTTCATCTATAAAATGAGAACAGTATACGCACTTCACAAGCCTTTCATGAAAATTAAATGAGATGACATACTGAAAGCACTCGGCACTATGTCTATCATATGGCTACCAATCAACAGTCAAACCTGTTCTGCTCCATTTTAGTCAGTAATACCACCATTATTCGTAACTCCTCTTCCTTCAATGTGGCACCCAGCAGCAAGCAGCCCTGATATTTCTATTTCCAAAACATAACCCAAATCTGTCCACCTCTCCCCAACCCCGTCTGCTAACCTCTGATGAATGGTAATAGCCTACCTGGTCTTTCAGCCTCTCTGTCTTAACCCCACTGTCCTACACCCAGCTGTCACAGTCATCTCTTAAATACATGAATTGCTGTGTTTCTCTCTGGATGAAAACCCTTGACTATGACTTCACCACTGCATTTAGTAAATACTAAATAAATGGCTGATTTATTTAATATAATTAGTAACATCAATATAACTAAAGATTTTTTTCGCATATTTACACTGACTTATTCCTTTGGAAATTAAAAATTTCTAGGTACTTTTTGGAAGACTTACTCGGGTAAGCTCTGAACCATTTATCACAGAAGTTAAACTTTATTCATAAAGATAAGAATATTAAATATATTCAGTATTTGAAAGATGTATCTTAGATGTAACCTACTCTAAGTAACTAAAAGACAGTGTCTTTCCTAACCCACTTTAACATCAATTCTTATTAATGCACTTTATAAGTGTCTTCAATAAAGAAATATTTCCTGTAGCTCTTTATCTATGATACATTTAGTGTCATTATTTAATATATTTGGAGAAAAGTGTTTATTTTTGTTTTTGTAATCATTAGAAACTTGAGTGAAGGAAAATTAAGTTACCTGGGCTTGGTATTTTCGAACTTTAGTTATTTGATTGGCTTTTGCCTCCATCCTTCCCACTAATGCCTCCAGTTCACACTCTAAGTTTTCTTTCAGTTCAATAGTTGGTGACTCCTGGATAAGTTTTGCAAGCTGCTGGTGATCACTATACACAAAAGTAAAGCTTGGTTAAGTTTACTATGTTTCACGGTTAGGTCCTATTGTACCTCATTCACCATGGGGTCACTGTTCTCTGTTAAAAAATGATTCAATTTTTTTAATACAGAAACAAGTTTTCAAATTATCAGTGACAGTTTTAAAAAGTTCACGAAAGGCAATGGAGGCAAATGCAAAAGAGTTCTTAATTTCAAAATGTTAATTATTTATATTCTTATTTCCCCCACAGGAGTATTACATATGTAGAAAGGGTATTCTAGAGAAGGATCTTGTTCTTCAAACACATCCTAACTTATGAGTGAAGTTCAGCTAAACTTAATGTAGTCACTCATGTGCCACGTAACAATGTTTTCATCAACAACAGACCAATATACAATAGTGGTCTCCTAAGATTGTAATACTGTACTTTTTCTATGTTTGGGTAACACAAATGCTTACCAATGTGTTACAAGTGCCTACAATATTCAAGTATAGTAATGTGCTGTACAGGTTTGTACTTTAGGAGTGACAGGGTAAACCAGGGGTGTGGCCTTTCAGATGCCCCTCGACTAAATCCAAACTTTTAAAAGGATTTGTTGTGTGAAGTTTGGATTTGGTCGAAAGGCTGCATTCAAGGATCCAGAAGGCCACATGTGGCCCCAATACCATACAGTTTAGTTTGTGTAAGTATACTCTATGATGTTAACACAATGACAATACTGCCCAATGATGCATTTTTCAGAATATATCCCCATTGTTAAGTGATGCATGACTGTAAATCAAGCTCTCAAACAAGGAAATAAAACTTAAATGTAAACCTTGGTCTTTAAAACATTTAAGTATTAGAAAAAGGAGAGATTTTTATCCTTAATAGGTATATTTATTAAAGTCCCAGTAAATTGGCTGGTGCAAAGACTGCTCAGCAGTATTGGCTGAACAAATGAAAGAAAGATTAATAAAGTCACCAAGAATTAAAAAACAATAAGGTTTTAGAAATGTATTAAAAAAACCAAAAGCTAGAACTCACAAGCTCATTTGCCCAAATTCATCCTGTAAAGTCTGTAAGACGTCTGACAACTCTTCATTAATGCTATTGGAGGAGGGTGATGTTACCGACAACTTCTTACTTTTACCACCTCGTGAAGATACTTGCTTTGCCAAAGGAACACTGTTGACTACTCGATCGTTGCACAAAGCTTTACTGTGTTGCTTCATTAGATGCAAGACATGCTGGACATTGGCCACCACGGCATGGCTAGGACTGGTAGACTAAAGAGAGAAAAATGATATAAGAAACAAGTATTTGAAGCTACATTCTCTACACCTGTTTTCTTTTTACTCCACAGTCTGGGTAAAAAGACACTTGCCCCCCCCACCAGTCCCCCTTTTGATATAAATTTCCTAGTCTAACCACTTACAAAGTCCCAAATGGAAATATCTCCAATCCATCTCTTAATATCCACCTTATTATTCACTTGGCTTATGCACCCATCTCTTCAGCTATAGGAAGACATCCCAATTGGTCTTTCTGCTCTCAGTCTGTCTTTAACTTCATTGTGCTATCACTTGTCCTCCTAAAATATTATTCTGATCATGTTCTCCTATTTGAAATCCTCTGATGTAAATCCACTGACTACAATACACAAACTGAGCTGCAGCCTACATACACTTCCTGGCCTCATGTCCTACCATCTCTTAATTTCTCTTCATTTTTTGAACAACTATTTGCAGATGGCTTTTTGTGTGTGTGTGGCTACTTTATACCGTTCTTTATTATAAAACTGGGTTCCAATATATCATTTTTAAAGGTTTCCTTAAAACTGTCAGGCAATTAATTGGTCCATTCTCAGATCACCTATTAACATTTTCAACATACCTCTATCACGGCATTTATCACAATATATTTTAATTGTGTTTACCAATTTCACATATTAAACAGCCTGCATCCAGGTGGTAAAGACTATTATTGTATTCATTTCTCTGTCCTGGAATAGGAGGAAGCACTAAGTACATGTATGTTACATAAACAACATAAAGAAGAAACACCTGGTAGCCTTCTTGAGACTTTATTTTTGTTTTGAACACTAAACAACCATCTCAATGTGCTATTCCAGTTTACAAGCAGATGGCTGGGCTTACTTGGCTCCATAAACATCAATAGATAGCTTATTTAAAATGCATATTTCTAGACAGCACTCCAACTCAGCAAGAGTGAGACCCTGTCTCTACTAAAAATAGAAAGAAATTAGCCAGGCAACTAAAAATATAAACAATTAGCTGGATGTGGTGGCACAAGCCTGTAGTCCCAGCTACTCAGGAGGCTGAGGCAGGAGGATCACTTGAGCCCAGGAGTTTGAGGTTGCTGTGAGCTAGGATGATGCCACGGCTCTCTAGCCTGGGCAACAGAGGGAGATATCATCTCAGAGAAAAAAAAAATGCAGTCTCGAATAATCGGAACCCTTCTGTCAAACTGTCTAATGTCAATTTATTTTTTGACACTACTTCTACATCTTCTTCCTCATTGTGTGGCAATGGTTTGGAAGCACTCATCTCCATCAACTCATCTGCTGTTAATTCTTTTGTTGTGGCGTCTGTTAGCTTTTCAATTTCTCCAAGATTCCTATCTTGAAACCCTTCAACCCCCCCCCACACCTTTTTTGCCATATCCACAATCTCTTTAATGATTTCTTTGACTGACTCTGTTGTTAGTTCTGTGAACTCATGCACAACATCTGGACACAGTTTTCTCCAGCAGGAATTTACTGTTTCCAGCTTGATGACTTTCAAAGCTTTTTCTTATAACAATGATGGTATCTTCGATCCTTTCAGACTTTCATGATGCTCCATCGAGGTGCTCTTTCATAGCACTGACAATCCTTTTCACAGAGTATCAAGTGTTATGAGCCTTAAAGGTCCTTATAACCCCCAATCTAGAGGGTGAATTAGAGGTGCTGTTTATGGGGGCAATTAGACCACTTCGATACCTTAGGTGTTGAACTCATGGGGTTTGGGTGCCCAGTGGTATTTGTCCAATATTAAAAGAACTTTAAAAGGTAGTCCCTTACTGGCAAGGTACTTACTTCCTGACTTTAGGGACAAAGCATTGATGAAACCAATCCAGAAAAAGGATTTTCGCTGTTCAGACCTTCTTGTAAACCCAAAGACTGGCTGGGATTTATCTTTTCCCTTAAAGGCTCGAGTTTTAGCAGCTTTATAGTTAAGGGTAGTCCTGATCATAAACGTGACTGACTGCATTTGCACAAAACAGTACAGTTAGCCTATCCCTTCCTGCCTTCAATCCTAGTGCTTGATTCTCTTGCTTACTAACAAATGTTCTTTTTGGCATTTTTTCCCAGAATAGGGCACTTTTGTCTGCATTCAAAACCTGTTTGAACAGACATCCTTTCTCCTCGATGATTTTCTTAATGACATCTGGGAACTCGTCTGCTACCTCTTGGTCAGCAGAAGCTGCTTCTCTTGTTGTCTCAACATTTTTAAAGTCAAAATTCTTTCTAAAATTATCAAACCATCCTTTGCTGGCAGTAAATTCTTCAGTTTTAGATGCTTTGTCTTCCTTTTGCTTTAAGTTGTCATATGACTTCATTTTTTCTCAAATCATATTAGAGTCTATAGGTTAGGTGCACCTTTCTTATAACAATCCTGAACCCACATAAAAGTTGAATTTTCAATACTAGATAAAAGGGTATTTTGCAAAAAGAGCAAGGTTTTCATACCTGCTAGGGTAGCTACAGAGATGGCTTCAAAAATTCCTTTTCCTTTTTTTAAATCAAAACAATAGTCCTTATGCTGGATTCGTTTATTTTAAAATGGCAGGCAATCACAGATGCGGACCTTAATCCACAGTACATAGCAAGCAATTCAACATTTTCTTGTAATGTCATGACTTTTCGCTGCTTCTTGGGAGCATGTCCACCATTACTAGTATGGGTAATGGTGTTACCATTTGTGGGGCACTTTGTATGGGTCCCATAGTATGAGTCAAGGTTTATGGTATTGCACTAAACACAACGGAAAACATGAGAGAACTTTGAGACATCACTTTATACCTGTGATATCCAGTTTACTGGAGACATCAAGTGCTCATGTGGAGATTTAAGTGGATACTCCCAACACTTGAGCTCACTGCAACAGCAATAAGAGGTGGCTACAAAATATAGTAGTACACAGTATGTACTCCAGTTAACTTTATGCAGTTATGATTTAATACTGCATCTTTATGTTTGTTTAAATTTCTCTTCATTGCAAATGTGCCATGTACAGTACATGTGGGCAAAAGTTTTGACAAATACTAACATTATATAATAAATATGTATACATTTTATGCTATTAAATGATAAAATAGACTAGTATCTACATATATTTTATGCATTCATGACCTTTTTCCTAATTTTTGATATTCTTAGGCTATGCGGTTTGTGAGTTTTTTCAAATTGTCACAAATCCCCCCAAATTTTCTAATATATTTTTTAAAAGTCATGTGTAAATAGACCCATGCAGTTCAAATCCGCGTTGGTCAAGGGTCAACTGTACTTTTAGGAAACACTTGTTGCCACTGATGTATTACATTCCCCAAGCTTTCACTGAGGGTTTACTGTGGGTTATAAATAAATAAATATTTTAAAAAGAACAAATGAAAATTCAAAAGAATGTTTACTTCCCAAGCTGCTAAACATGACAATCTAGTTGGGTATTCCAGCTATCTACACATAAAACAACCAGGATCACTATTAGTTCATAAAAAACTAACAAGTTAAGCACTTGTTAGAAATCACTCAGTACTTGTATCTGACATTATCGTCTCTACGTTTAAGTGTTAAAGGAACATAAGATTCAAGTCTACATACGACTGCTTCTTGGAGAATTAATCCTATAAATGATCTAAATGTGAGGACAAACAGGATATGCTATTTATTTACTTAAGTATCTACTTATATTTAAATACAAACCATCAGGACTGATACTAAAAATCCAATGCTACAAATATACTATTTATTTCCTTAACCCCCATCTACAGTGACAGCTTCTTTAACCCAACGTCTCTGCTTTTAGCACTTCCCTTCCCCAGAAGGTAGTCTTTAACTGCTCTAAGATAGTCTTTTTCATCTCCTCCCTGCTTCCTCAATCTCACAAAACCATCCCCTCCATCTCATTCTCACATCACTATGACGCACACTGGTAAAGGAGGCAAAAAACCAAAATATCTCTCGTATTTATAGACATACATGCAGATATGCAGATTTAATTCAAAGATCTAAGTTGTTAAAAAAAAAAAAATCTAGAGTTTGACCAACTCACCTTTCCAGCTACAAACGGCATATCACCCAAGCATAGTCTATAATGTGGCTGTGCACCCAAATAGTTCCTAGAACTCTTCTGAAAGGAAAACAATTTTATTTTATTAACATGATAAAAACAGACCATACATGACTATGCAATACTTAATAATACTAGTTTTGTGTAGTGTTCTATAGTTCCAAAATGCTTATATATATGTATACACACACACAATTTTTTTTTCTATCACAGTAAAACTTTAGGAGTAGATATTACTTATCCTCTCCTTCTAAATGAAGAAAGTGAGAATGAAAGACATTTACTTTCATAGTAACACATGATTTATGAGTGTTTTCACATAAATTTTACCAAATATAATCAGTACGTTACCTGATTGGTTCTGTTTTCATACCTTTTCTGGTGATTTTGATTTCTTTTTTTTAATTCTTCTTGCACTGGGAACATATGGAGTTGCCTTATTGTCAAAGATAAGTCTATTTGTTTCTAGGCCAGTCTGCAACTAGGAAAAATATGAGAGCCTAAAAGTTAATGCTGTATAGAAATAAAAGCTATGGTTCAAATTTGAGATACGCCACGTAAAACCCTGTAAAAACCAACAATCGTATCTGACTGAAAAACACATCGTAGCTGATTAACTATGTCTTGAACCAATCAATATCTGTCAAATATTTTAAATCAATACTGGTCTCTCATTTTATCTTGAACTGCTGTGTTATAATTTGCCCTTTCCTTAGCCTAGAACGCATTAGCACCGCTATCTGTAGTTGCTCCATAAATTCTAATGAGTTAAATGCAGCGTATATAACTCTAAACTGATGCTTCAATAGTTTTTCTGTGAAAAAATGGCAGCTACCACAGTGCCAGACACAAAGCAGCTGAAGACCAAAATATATTTCTTCCTCTTCTAAAAACTCAGACACTTACTATATAAAAAAAAAGAATCAAAAATTTATGTCCAAAAAAATGTAGAAGGTATTTCAGCAAATGTTACCAAGCCCTTTCCTATAAAAGCTTAGTAACTACCTTAATTAAAAATAATATTCAAAGATGACTGACTAGATATATCAGTTACCACATCTTCTTAGAAAGAAGGAAAAGTTTCAGATGAAAAAAACCTAGACTGAGTGTAATTCTGAGGGAAAAGTGCCAGAACCTACCAGAGGTTCCATGGGAAGAAGTTGTGGAGTAGAATGCAGAATAAGAAGGAACAAGATCTTGGCAGAGATCAACTCCCAGGAGGCTTGCAGCCTGGCGAAAAGGGTTGGTGGGATTTTGTTTCTCCTTCCCTCACACCTCTGCAAGTGAGCAGGCTCCTCAGCTGCTGGAGAGCTTTTTTACCCTCATGAGCCCAAAAGCTGCTGCCACCAATGAACTGGGAGCTTCTTGAGGACAAAGTTCCAGGTTGCCAGCCCTCTCAGGGTCATTTCCCATCACAACAGACCTGAGCCGAGATGGTGGGCACCATACTGTTTCTCCAACCACTGCATACCTTTGTCCTCCCCTAGAGAGCTTCAGCCCCTCTGTTTTTGTGTTGTTTGTTCCCACACAAACATTTCCCAACTCCAGCGCAGACTGCTGGTAGCCAGTGGGTGCTGGGGGATCTGTGTGATCCCAGAGCTTCGACACTCTGGGCAGGCTGCCTTCCGGGGAGAGGGACAGAGATGAACAGAGTGCCACTTCTCCACTCAGACTCTTTTCGTCCCCTGCCCCCTGCTGCCCAGAGGCACAGGTGCCCCCAGGGATGACTGAGCCTAGACTCTTAGAAGTGGCACTTCCGCTGTTGGTGTACCCAGCACACTGAGGCTTCCACAGAGGGGCTCGCATCTTTCCTATTAAAGACTTGCAGTGGACCAAGGGGTGCTTGGACTCTGAGCTCCCTGCCTGCCAGCCCTGTGCTGCTTGTCTGGCTGGTCCAGCAAAGCAGGGCACACCCTGAAGCAGAGGGACATCAAACCTGCTTCAGCACTCCACAGGCAACTTGGGACCAGCACACTTTTCACTGACCTGGTCAAGACTGAACTTGGGTGACCTGGGGACAAGCCCCCAGGCCAGTTCCCATATGCCCAGGACTTAACCATGTTGCTTAGGGGCACAGGGAGATTTGTGAATTAATTTTGGGAATCAAGGGAGCCTGCATGGGCAGAGCTGAGAGGAGAGTGCAGGGTAGGTCCAAGCTGTAGCACACTCGCGGAGGACCCCTTCCCCCACAGGAAGGCTGTGCTCTACGCCTGGGGTGGGATCCTGGACAGGGAAACTCTCAGCCCACAGCGCCATTGCTGGTGAGCTCAGCTAGTTTGAGCACCTGCCTGCGGCCAGACGGGGAAAGGAGACCTCAGGGAAGGGGAGGGGAGAGAAGAGTAAAATCCACTGCTGATAGCCAGACTGTAAATCTCAGACGGCCTTTCCCCCAAGAGCAGACTTTCTGGCTTGGTGGGCTAGCTCGGGCCCTCCCTGGTGACTTTCCCCAGTGGCCTGGGAGCAGACCCTCCATCCCTGCCAAGACAGCTCTTTTGTCTGCCTGTGTGGAGCCTGAAAGCAGGCTTATCCGACCCAGCCCTGCCCAGCCTTGCTCCTCCAATGGCCTATGCGTGGTGGAAAATAATGAGTACCCTGGGATTCCCAGGGTTTTGCCCACCACCTGTGGCATTCAAGTGCTTCTGCTGAGGGGCTAGAGCCAGTCACTGGCCCCAAAAACAACAATGCAGCTGGTTCTTTCTGGCAAGCACCACCTAGAGGCAAGGAGGACAACTTGTATAGCCCTTTATAGTATTTACTGACTCAATCACACAGGACAAGGCTGATTCTTTCCCATAAGCACCATCTACTATCTCAGAAATTAAACTGGGCATCCCAATGTGATTCATGCTTTTAATAGGACCACAGGGTTTGGGAAAGAGAAAGGATTTCAAAGACTTCCATCTTGTCTCATCAACAAGAGATAGGGAATCTGTGCACGCGCACACACACACTACTTCTACAGCCTACAAGTAACTAGCAACTGAGAAAATGACCACACTAAGGATGTCTATAACTAAGGCATCCATCCAGAACCTAGACCCCATCAAAGCACCCGCAAGCAAGGCCAAAGATACTTACCCAACATATACTTCAGACACACCATTAAGAGCGAGGGGGAGAAAAAAAACCTCATCTGAACAAAAGAAAATCAAAAAACAAGCAGTGACAGCTGCTCCAGATGAGAAGGAATCAGCACAAGATATCTGAAGTATGAAAAATCAGAGCAAAAGGACATGCCCAAAGGAGCACACCAGCTTTCTAGCAACGGATCCCAGCCAAAATGGAAATATTGAAATGACAGAAAGAACTGCAAATATGGATTGTAAGGAAGCTCAATGAAATCCAGGAGTAAATGGAAAATCAACTCAAAAAAATCAGAAAAACAATTCAGGAAATGAACAAAAACTTTACTAAAGAGATAGACATATTAAAAAAAAACTAAACAGAACTTCTGGAAATGAAAAATTCATTTAAGGAAATACAAAACACAGTGGAAAACTTTAAGAATAGACTAGACTGGGCAGAAGAAAGAAATGTAGAGCTTGAAGGCAACTCTTTTGAATTAACTCAAGTCAAAAATAAAGAACAAAGAATCAAGGGGAATAAAGTCTATGAGAAATACGGAATTATGTAAAACAGGCAAATGTAAGAATCACAGACATCCCAGAAGGTGAAAAAGAAAAAGCACAAGGTCAGGAAAACCTATTTAAGGGAATAAGTAAGGAAAATTTCCCTGTCTCTGGGTTTAGACACCCAAATACAAGAAGCTCAAAAGACACCTGGGAGATTCATTGCAAAGAGGAAATCACCAAGATATACAGTCATCAGGAGTGGCCAAAGTCAACAAGAAGGAGAAACTTCTGTGAGCTGTGAGGGAAAAGCATCAAGTAACTTACAAGAGAAACCGATTGCTAACTGCAGACTTCTCAGCGGAGACCTTACAAGCCAGAAGGGATTGGGGCCCCATCTTCAGTCTTCTTGAAGAAACAACTACCAGCCTAGAATTCTGTATCCTGCAAAACTAAGTTTCATATATGAGGGAGAAATAAAGACTTTTCCAGACAAGCAAACACTAAAAAGAATACATCACAACAAAATCTGGGAAACACTAAGAACTGCATTATACATGGATCAGCACAAAAAAAGATAATCACCAGGCCGGGCGCGGTGGCTCACGCCTGTAATCCTAGCACTCTGGGAGGCTGAGGCGGGCGGATTGTTTGAGCTCAGGAGTTCGAAACCAGCCTGAGCAAGAGCGAGACCCCGTCTCTACTAAAAAAAATAGAAAGAAATTAATCAGACAACTAAAAATATATAGAAAAAATTAGCCGGGCATGGTGGTGCATGCCTGTAGTCCCAGCTACTTGGGAGGCTGAGGCAGAAGGATTGCTTGAGCCCAGGAGTTTGAGGTTGCTGTGAGCCAGGCTGACGCCATGGCACTCACTCTAGCCCGGGCAACAAAAGCGAGACTCTGTCTCAAAAAAAAAAAAAAAAAGATAATCACCAGTGTAAAATCACCCAAAAGCTAAAGCTCACAGCTCATATAAAACAGCACATGAAGGAAAACAAAGCAATGAGGTACTACTCAACATGATGAACAGAACAGTATCCCACATATCAATTCTATCACTCAACGTTAACAGTGTGAATACTGCACTCAAAAGACAGGCTAGCTCAATGTATGAAAAAACACAACCCAAGTATCTGCTGTCTCCAGGAAACACATCTAACCCACAAGGACTCAGACTCATGGTGAAGGAATGGAAAAAAGAAAGCAAGTGTAGCCATTCTCATATCAGATAAAAATTAATTTTCAATCAATAACGGTAAAGAAAGACAAAGATAGTCATTATGTAATGGTAAAGGGAGCAATTTAACAAGAAGGTGTAACAATCCTAAATATATATGCACCTAACATAGGAGCTCCCAGATTCATAAAGCACATTCTACTAGATCTAAGCAAAGACATAAATGGCAGCATTGTAACTGCCGGAGACTTCAACACTCCCATGACAGACCTAGACAGATCATCAAAGCAGAAAGTAAGGAAACACTGGATTTAAACAGTACTCTAGAACAAATGGACCTAACAGGCATTTACAGAACATTCTATCCAAAAACTACTGAATATACATTCTTCTCATCAGCGCATGGGACATTCTCCAAGATTGACTGTATCTTAGGCCATAAACCATGTCTCAACAAATTAAAAAAAGTCGAAATCATACCATGTATCTTCTCAGACCACAACAGAATAAAACTAGAAATCAATTCCAAGAGAAACTCTAAAATTTATACAAAGTAATGGAAATTAAACCTGCTGCTGAACAATTCTTGGGTCAAGGAGGAAATTAAGATGGAAATGAAAAAATTCCTTGAACTAAACAACAAAGGGGACACAATCTATCAAACTCTATGGGATTAACCAAAAGTAGTCCTAAGGGGAAAATTCATACCCTTAAATGCCTACATCTAACAGACAGAAAGATCAGTGGGTTTCATCCCAGGGATGCAAACATGGATGAACATATGTAAATCAGTAAATGTGATTCATCACATAAACAAGTGAAACTGATCATGTCAATAGATGCATAAAAAAGCATTCAAGAAAATCCAGCATCCTTTCAGGATAAAAACCCTCAACAAACTAGGCACAGAAGGAACATATCTCAAAATTAGAAAAGCCATATATGACAAACCCACAGCCAACCTCAAACTGAATGAGGAAAAATTGAAAGCATTCCCGTAAGAACTGGAACTCCTAGCCAGAGCAATCAGACAAGAGAAAGAAATAAAGGGTATCCGAATCAGGAAAGGGGAGGTCAAACTATCGTTTTTCATTTATAGTATGATCTTGTATCTAGAAAATCCCAAAGATTCCAACAACAGACTCCTGGAAATCAATGTACACAAATCAGTAGCACTTCTATAGATAACAGTTAAGCTAAGAGTCAAATCAAAGACTCAATACCATTCACAATAGCTACAAAGAAAATAAAATACTTAGGAATGTACTTAACCAAGCAGGAGAAAGATCTCTACAAGAACTAAGAAATGCTGATAAAAGAAATCACAAATGACACAAATAAATGAAAAAACATATCATGCTCCTGGATCAGTAGAATCAACATTGTTAAATGTCCATACTGCCCTAAGTGATTTATAGATTCAACGCAATCTCTATCAAAAATACCAATATCATATTTCACAGATCTAGAGAAAGTAATTCTACCCTTTGTCTTCAACCAAAAAAGAGTCTGAATAGCCAAAGCAATCTTAACACATTGATAGCCGCACACAAAAAAACCCCAGAAACTTTTCCTCGGGGCCACAGTGTTTTATTACGAAAAGAGAATACAAACTTTGAGTGTAACTTAAAGATAAACATGAATAGAAAGACGAAATTTATTTTCTATTCGTTTAATCTATGTTTTTAGAATTAAACTGTCAATATTAATTGTAACAACAAGAACATCAACAAGTAAGATTTCACATATGCTTCACGCAGCCCTGGGATTGAAACTAGAGTGAGTTAAATACAACTCTCATGGCAGTCAATGTGTTAAGCAAAAAAGAATGAACTTGGAGGCATCACATTACCAGACTTCAAACTATCCTACAAGGGTATAGTAACCAAAACAGCATGGTATTGGTTACAAAAATAGAGACACAGATCAATGGAGCAGAACAGAGAACCCAGATATAAAACCATCTACCTACAACCAACTGATCACTGGCAAAGCAGACAACAACTTACACTGGTGAAAAGAAGCCCTATTCCATAGATGGTGCTGGGAAATTGGATAGCCGCATGCAGAAGAATTAAAAAAGACCCCTACCTATCCCTTACTACTTACAAAAATTAATCCAAGATGAAGAAAAGACTTAAATGTAAGGAATGAAACTATAAAAATTCTAGAAGAAAATGTAGAAAAAACTCTTCTAGATATTGGCCGAGGCAAAGAATTTATGACTAAGATCCCAAGGGCAATTACAACAACAACAAAAATAAGTAACTGGGACTTTATTACATTACAAAGCTTCTGTACAACAAAGGAAATAATCGACAGAGCGAACAGACAACCTACAGAATGGGAGAAAATATTCACAATCTATACATCAAATAAAGGGCTAATATCCAGAATCTACAAAGAATTCAATTAAATCAGCAAGAAAAAAAGAAACAACCCCATTAAGTAGGCAGAAGACATGAACAAAAGAAGATAAATGGGCAAGAAACATATGAAAAAAAATGCTCAATGTCACTAATCATAAGGGAAATGCAAATCAAAACCACAATGAGATATCAGAATGGCTTACTCCTGTCAGAATGGCTTTTATTAAAAAATCCAAATGCAATAGATGCTGGTGCGGATGCAGAGAGAAGGAACGCTTATACACTGTTGGTGGCACTGCAAATTAGTACCACCTCTATGGCAAACACCATGGAGATTTCTCTGACGTAAGATCTACCATTTGATCTAGCAATCCCACTACTGGGTTATCTACCAAAAGGAAAAGAAGTCATTTTATCAAAAAGACACCTGCACTCAAATGTTTATTGCAGCACAATTCACAATTGCAAAGATGGGGAACCAATCCAAGTGCCCATCAATTCATGAGTGGATTAAGAAAATATGGTGTATATACAGGGCGTCCCAAAAGTCGCCATACATAGGGAAAATGGGAAATTGTAGCTAAATGTACATTTACAAAATTTTACACAATTTTTCCTTTGTATGGAGACTACAAAGGAAATTTCATGGTAGAAATCTCACAAGAAATTACAAGGATTTCAGAAAAGGACTGTCATTTTCCCTTAACCAACTTTCTCAACTTTCCTTAAAAAAAAAACAACCTTGTCTTGAATAGTGGTTGTTTTAAATCTGCCTACATGTATTAAAAATGTTTGGAGTTTATGAGAAAAATTAAGATTGCCAGGCTCCTGTCCAGATCTCATGATTTTGGGCCTCCCAGGCAGGGGAAAATTGTATTTTAAAAGTATTTAAAAAGCCCCCCAGGAAACGATGATGGTGCTAGAACCAACACTCAGAACCAATGGATTCAGTGTAAAAAAAAAAAAAAAAAAAAAAAATTGAGATCATTACTAATATCTCCCACATAATTGCACTGTTTGGGGAAAGAATCTATTCAATGATGAAGAATACAGGGATCTCCACCCTCAAGGCTCAAGGCCAGACTTGGAACCACATATCCCTTGTCATTGTTCTTCTAGTACAACAGTGTTCACTATTAGAACTCAAAACCTTTACTGATATTATATTATCAGCAATAGGTGATTTGATCCCTACCTGATGCCTGTTAAATGGAAAAGAAAGCAAAGGTAGCATAAATTAATTTTTAAAATTCATAAAACAATGAACTTGTTAAATTTTGCATTTCATATATAATGGACTCAAGAACACAATGTACATAAAGCACAACCCATAAGTCTGCTTGTTACAAGTGAGGATATGAAGACACTATAAAGTGGTTTACCCCAAAATGGAAATGGGCAGAGAAAATCTGTTGGTCATAAAGCCATGTGGCTACATAACTCAGAAAGCACACTGAGGGGAAAAAGTATGAATCTAAAAACTGATCGAAAGGTATTTGAGAAGGTAATATATCAGGTTTAATAGAAACTATCTTAGTGAGTTCAGAGAAGCACGACAAGAAACAGACAAGATAAAAAGATGAGATAATAGAATGTTTATATTCCTGTGGTCACATATATGAGATGAGCCCAGGGCACTGTAGGCATCAGGCCACAGACTGAACTGTGGAGACTCAACTCCTTGGAATTAGTACCTGCTTCTTTTTTATTTTGGAGACAGAGTCTCACTCTGTCACCCTGGCTAGAGTACAGTGGCATCATCCTAGCTTACTGCAACCTCAAATTCCTAGGCTCAAGCAATCCTCTGCCTCAGCCTCCTAAGTATCTGCGACTACAGGCGTGAGCCACTGCCTCTGGCTAATTTTTCTATTTTTAGTAGAGGCAGGGTCTTGCTCTTGCTCAAGCTGCTTTCAAACTCCTGAAGTCAAGAGATCCTCCCACCTTGACCTCCTAGAGTGCTAGGATTATAGGCATAAGCCACCATGCCCGGCCCAGTACCTGCTTCTTGTGTTAATATGAGAAAAGGTACAAGCAAATGTCATAAAACTTAAAGATCTTGGAAGGAGGAAGGGAAGATCTAGGAGATATTTAAGCAAATAAGCTCATAAGGACAGAGTCTTCAGTTGAAAACACAAATATTTTATTTTGTTGACTGTATAAGATTTGCTTCAGTGGTCTTGCTAAATCTCCTAGAAATGCAGTTCCAGTTAGTACATATAAACTCAACATTTTTCTGAATCCACACTGCCTCACCTATTCTATCTAGTGGCCAGTACAGGGGATAAAATCACAGACTCGGAGAAAGTAGAGCTCATTTTCCTCATGTGGTAGCTTATGTGAACTGGTCTGGGTTCACTTGGTTTGGAACTGGGGCACCCCAGTACCTCAACTTCTGTCCTGGTATCTTGAGGCCAAAGAAAAGATACCAGGATACTTATAGTACTAAATGATGGTGTTTGTCATTTCTGATAGTGACCCGTGATAAGGTTTACATGGTTACTTACCTTATGTGTAAAATCTCAGATATTTTTTAGTCTGTTATTTTTTAATTGCTGGTTGAAACTCCGCAATTTGAAATACACTAAAGATTTGCTCAAGTTTTACTCTTTGTATATAAAAATACTCGTTCATAATTTTCCACATTAAGCTGTATCTACAATTTATATATTGGACTATTCTAAAACATAAATAATCTAAGATGCCCAAATATAACCGTTTATTTGTATGTTAAAAGGGATTAAGAAATATGAGGAACCTATTTGCTCACATTTAACTTACCTCAGCTGCCTTAGCTTGCATACGTTTCCTTTCCTGTTCTTCTTCATGGAGTTTTGCTTCCAATTCTTGCATTTTTTTCTATGATAAAAATACCGAAAGGGATAATAGTGAAAAGTCTTCACTATCTACTTGTAAAATTTTAATATTGCAGCATAGGCGCTTGTGAATTTTAGCACAAATAAGCTTGTTCGTTCACTCTAGTAATGGGATCTCTGGGCTTGACAGCATCCATGACACTCTCCATTGTGTTCAATTATGAGTGATTTGTGAGGTTAGCTGTGACATAGTTGAACAGAATTATGGGTAAAATCTACAGCCAAAGAACACAGATCTTTATGAAGATAAATAGGCTATACGGAGGCTGAATCTGGAACTTTGAGTGGTATTAAATACTTCCCAAGTGCAACAATTAAATCTAAAATTTGCTCAGAGAACAACTTAAACCAAGTGATACAAACCTTAAGGATACTCAAAAACATGTAATCTTTAAATATTTTCAAAAAGAATTCCTCCTTTTTTCAAAAAGAATACCCATCAAGATTATAAAATGTGAACATTCTCTCCAAGCTTACGTTTTTTCTTTTTAAAGTTCCTTTTTTAAAATTAATGAATTAATATTTTTTTTAAGAGACAGGGTCTCACACTCTGTCACCCAGGCTGGAGTGCAGTGGACTGATCATAGCTCACTGTAGTCTTGAATTCCTGGACTCAAGTGACACTCTTGCCTCAGCTTCCAGAGTTGCTATGACTATAGGCATGCGCCACGACACTTGGCTAATATTTTTTTTGTAGTTATGGGGTCTGGCTATATTGCCCAGGCTGGTTTTGAATGTCTAGGCTCAAGTGATCCTCCCACCTCAGCCAACTAAAGTGTTGAGATTATAGGCATAAGCCACTAAGCTTGGCCTAAAACTCCTACATACTTCTTTGCTGTAAGATCACCTTTATTGCTCTAAATATCCAGTGCTATAATTTTAAAAACCCTGATATGCATTAATGAGTATAAGATGCATGCAGAGTATAAGATGCATGCACTGACTTCTGCAAGAGCTTGCATTGTGGTAAGTTTATTATACTCCTGTTCAAGAAGATCCAGTTTTTCAAGCTGGCTCTGAACGTGTGTTTGATCATGTTGTCGTTCTCTTTCTAAAGAAACCTGAAAAACAGCATTAAATACAGTATGATAATTTGACAATTAAAAAACAGGAAAACACTGAGCATACCTTACAATACATTGTATGCTACTGTCTGGCCCTTCATAGAACTATTTAGATATACAGAGGAATTCTAGGAAAATAACATTAAGATGAAATCATAGGGGCATCAATAAATTATTGATTTAAGTGGAATATTGCCCTTACTATTAATATATATACTACTTTACATAACACATGGTTTTATATAGTGAGACTATCTCTATGCCCTGGGATAGCAGGGACTTATTGGACATATAGGCTACACACACAAAAACACACACACAATACTTTCAATTAGTTTGGTCCTCTTAAGTAGTCAATTTCTGGTTTACATTCCTTTGAACTCCACATAAAATACCCCTTTAACTTTTTATTCTCAGGTTTAGAGTCACAGATTTAAAAAGACTTCCTCCTATACAGATTTAAAGACTGATAGAATAAACCATTAAAACAGGAGAAGTGAAAATATACTAAATTGGGACCTAGTAGTAGTAAAAAGCGAAAACACTAAATAACTGGACTTATAAACAGTATATCTCTCTATATAAGGCTATGACAATAGGTATCATAATAATAGCAATTTGAACACAGCAAAGCAATATAAAGCAATAATTATCAGGAATTTGTATGAACTACTAATTCCTTTCTGTATACCTTAGTGATAGTCATAGTTTTTAAAGAATCCATTAACTTAAAAATCTGCACAAACCATATTTTATTTCCAGCACTGGAGCCAGTCTTATGAAATTATCCTTCTTAAAAAGAGCTATTTAAAATTTACTGATGACACAAAGACTATAATCCAAAGACATCTATTATATAGTTGTCTCCTAGATATACTAGACATTTTAAAGTTATCTCATTGAACTGATTCCTCCCTTCTCCACCACATCCACCACAGAGACAAAATAATAATAATGTAATAAATTATTTATTACTTAGCTACCTTGAAATCAAGAAAGGAGAATCTCTACATGCCAAAGAGAGAAAGGAACTTGAAAGCAAATTAAGGGATCCTAAAGTCTAATATCACATGAGGCAGTACTGGAGCCTGGGTATATAAGATGTACAGGAACAAGACATAAAACTTCAGGCAATGTATAATCCACAATAATGCAAGAAGACCAATCAATATATTAACATAAATCTGGACCACAGTCATCAAGCCTCAGCAAAGGCAAATCCACAACTGTCTCATAAGGCTGCCCATACAACTTAGGAAGTATTAAATTTCCACGAAAATAACTCTAAAGAATATGAGTTCACCATGAAAAAACAACTATCATAAAAAACCAAAAGAACATAAGGGAGAATCAGCAGATAAAACAAATGAGAGGATGAACACTTTAAAAATATGAGAATTGTTTACAGTGTTCAAAAAGAGAAAAGGAATAAAAACCACAGAGTAATAGTACATAAAAATAACAAAAATAAATGGATGGAAAAAGACCCAATTGAAAATGTAAAATATATAGTTACTGAAATAAATTCAGTAACGTAGTGAAGAGACCTATAATACTTAAGAGAATTAAATACTGAGACATCTTCTCAAAGTATTGAGAAAAGCTGCATAGTATTTCTCTTTTATACTTTAGAGCATTTAGATAATATTAAGCATATAAACTGTCAAATTTTGTATAACAGTTAAGATGTCCAGAAATTGTAGTATTTGTGATGAATACAAATTCTAGCTAATAGGAAAAGGAAAATGCCTTAAAAAATATATTTGAGACTCATGTTGATGCCTTCTCACAAACGTGCAGGTTACTTAAATACAAAGACCTTGGGTATAACAAAGCAGAAAAATACTTTGCTAAAATAACTGTTAAGAGTTTTACAAAGTATAAAGAACCTTCAAATAAGTATCTCACTTGAGTCTTTAAACAAATTTAAGAGGTACAGAGGTATATGATTATTTATACTTTTTATAAGGTAGACTCAAAGAAGTTAACATGACTTAAAAGTATGCCACAACTGTATAGTATTTTTCCGATTTAAGTAATACTCTACCAAATGCAACAATAACAATGAAGAAAGCCAATCAAACTTTCAGATTCCATAACTGAGCCCAAGAAATTTCAGTCCTTGACACCACTAGTCTTCACTGAGAATAAAGGTCTTTATTTCAATTAATTTTCCCCAAAACTAACTGCTCTTGAGTATCAGTCTGTGAGGTGCCTTACCTGTTTCTCCAAGACAGATGTCCTCTCTGTTTCTGCATGCTTTATCATATTTCGCATGTACTCCAACTGTTTTTCTAAAAGATTACACTTATTTTCTGCAGCTAACAACTGAGATGTCAGTTCTAAAAATACATACAAAAAGCAGAAATCAGCTTACCCATAGAATAGTTTCAACAAACTGTTAACAGGAATCAAATTTACTATCTATAAAATACAAACACATTCCATAGCTCTGAAGCCTTTTCAGGTTATCTAAATCATTCTGTATGCTAGTAAAATCTGCCTTGCATTCAGTCAGTAAATTTAATGAATGACATCAGCATCTGCTCCTCAAAATGCACTTGAGCACTATGTAATTTTGTAGTGCCCTAAAATACTGACCACTAGAAAACACTAACAGAGAATTGCTTTTAGAATAATTTCATGATGCTTACTGATAGAATTCAATTTCCTACATAATTAAACAAACCTTGATTGTGCTTTGATTCTTCATTCTTTGAATTTTCCCTTTCTTGTATCTGTTCATCTAGTACTTTCTTATATTCAATTGTTTCTTTAGACAAGGTTTTCACACTTTCTTCTGCCTGAATCCTTTCAAGTTCCAAGCGTCGAATCTTATCTTGAAGATTCTTCAGAGCAGAAAATATGGCTGCCAAATATAAACATGGATAATATAGGTAACAACATATATGGATTTTATAAAATGGTAAAAAAAAAATGTAGCTAATCACACAAAATTCACAAAACTGTCCCAAAGTACATTATTAACTGTCTAAACCTTTTTTGTTTTATTAACAAGCATCACATGTATAACAGAATCCAACTGTAGACTTAAAAAGTCAAGCACAAAAAATGTTTCTTAAAATCTGCATTTTAAACACTCTATAAATTCTCCTTCAAAAGTTTCTGATTATAAAAGTAATACATATTCACTGTAGAAAACGTAGACTGCAGTCCCCAATCCCTGGGCTGTGGACCAGTACTGGTCTGTAACCTGCTAGAAACTGGGCTGCACAGCAGGAGGTGAATGGCAGGTGAGCTATCGAAGCTTCATCTGTATTTATAGCAGCTGCCCATTGCTTGCATCATGGCCTGAGCTGAGCCTCCTGTCAGATCAGGAGCAGCATTAGATTCTGCATTATGGTGAGCTGTATAATTATTTCATTATATATTACAATGTAATAATAACAAAAATAAAGAGCACAATAAATGTAATGAGCTTGAATTATCCCTAAACCATCCTCCCTGCACCACCATCCGTGGAAAAATGGTCTTCTGTGAAACAGGCTGCTAGTGCCAAAAAGGCTGGGGACTGCTGACATAGAAGATACAGGAACTCAGAGATAACAACCGCCACTTTTAGTTCTTTCCATCTTTTTCTACATGCATAAAATAAATTGAGATCAAAATATACCTAAATTTTGTTTTTCACCTTAGCATTAACAGTGAGCATTCCCTCATGTAATCAGTCTTAAAAGATTATTTCCTTATGATCAATAATTAAAATCTAAAAAATTAAGTTACTGGGTAAAAGAATATTTTTATTTTAAAGGCTCTGAAGCAAGTACCTTCAAAAGGGGTTGCATCAAATTGTACTTTCATAGAAAGTACATGTCTTTGTCAACACAGAAAACCTCTGCCATTCTGGTAAGGAAAACATGCTACTTATGGTTACTTTGCATTTCTATTAAAGTTTAAATAATTTAATATTTTTATATACATTATTGGCCAATTTTCTCCCTTTCATAAATTTTCTTTGCTCATTTTTCTATGTGAAAAAGTTTCCCTCCCTCCATTTTATTTTCTGTCTTTAATTCTAGTTTTGGTGTTATTAGTTTTTATGTACAGATATTTTGATCTTTCATAAAGGTATACCTAACATTATTTCCCAAGTTTTCTTTCCTTGTTTATATACTTAGAAAGTTCTTCCTAACCTCAAGATCAGATAAACTTTATATTTTCTTTTATTACCCTTAGAATTTCAAACGTTCTTACATTTAATTAAGTCAAATAAAAAGTATTTTTGTGTTGAAGAACTTTAAATACCAAATTTATCACATACTAAATTCACACATACACCGGTATACATAGAGATACATAGATATAGACACTATGATTATTACTTACACATCCCTAAGACAGTTTCAGCCTTCTATTCTAGTTTCACTAATATTATGCCAGTATTTCCATTTTGTCCATTTTATTAACATCATTCATTCATTCACCAAATTTTTCAGTGCATATGACAGCCCCCAAATAAGAGACTGATACATTTTACAAAATGGCCAATTGTTATTCAATGAGACTATAACTGGAAAGAATGCAAACATGAAATACATACACCTAGAAACCTGAAAAATCAACTGAAAAGACTTTGAGAACTAATAGGAAAGGAACCCAGATATAAGATTAACAGATATAAGATTAATATTAAAAGGAGCAATTCTTTTTTATACCTGTTGTAATCAGATAAATATAATAGAAAAAGATAAAACTTAAAAATGTCCTTTAATATCAATTAAGTTTTCTTAACCTCTTTTGAACCACTGAGGCATATTTATTAAAATAAGACTATGTAATATCAAACATTTCTTGCATTTCTTCATTAGATTATATTCAATAGCACATAATTTTGCTAGTATTTTATTTTTGCATCTATATTTATTACTGAAACTGGCTAGAACACTCCATTTTTGTTCTGTATGTGAGCAACTGGAGTAGTAATATAGTGATATGCAGGATTAACAAATAGAACCAGGGTAGCGGGTATACGCTTTCCTGTTCTGATTCTGGAATGGCTTATATATGATGGGGATGATTTGTTTTTCAAGCACTTCTCAAAATTTATGCCCTAAAACTATGTGAGGCTCAAGCCTTACTGAGGCTTTGACAATGTAAAAAAAATTTCTTTCCCAATCGCTTTTTTCCTTTTTTATGTTTAAAAATTTCTGAAAGACATTCAAAATTATAAATAGAGTACTGAACATAATAGTTACTATAATAATCTACGGTATTTTCCTTATTTCTAATTTTGTGAATAGATTTATGTTCTTTTCTTAGAATCGTAGCATATCCTTAGAAATCTTTGGCATTTTTACTTCAAAGGAAAACAAAATACAAGGCTAAACATTAGTTCTTTCTCCCACTTTCCTTATTGTTTTGTTCTTTAATAAACTTAAGTTAATGTTTAATTATTTTCATTCTTTTCTTGCTCTATAATGAAAGGTATTTAAGATTATATTAAATTCCTTCCAAGTACTACAATCCCTGTTTAAATGTATAATGTTTTACTGTCTTCTTTTTCAAAAAATTGAATAAATGCACATATGGATAATTTAGAAAAAACATGAAAAGGAAAAAAAAAATCATACCCATAATCCTACCACCTAGGTATAATAATGATAAATATTTCATTGAAGTCCTTTTGGATTTTTTCTATGCTTTTATATGTTACTGGGACTACCCTTTACTATTTTATATCATACTTATTTATGAGTATACTTTAAATGTAATTCATAATATTAACAGTTTTCACTAACATTGTATATAGCTCTACGTATTCAAGTCTTCATGTATGCACCTCAGTGAGCACATGAAATAGATCTAGGTTGATTTATCAGAGGTAACTTTTCTATCCACAGCTTCTTCCCCAGGCCATGGGCCTAGTTGTTCCAATACCCCTTCTCTAATTTCATCACCCCCAGCTTTCTAAAAGAAGTATGCAGGGCCTAAAGCTTTGCTCTCCAGTTTCTACCTATATTTCAAATCCTATCTTCTCCCCTACTGTACCCGAACACCTAAGGCTTGTGTCTGATGCCAAGACTCCTAGTACTGTCCCTGAGGTTTTTGGCTTTATTATCCTCCTTACTGTTCTGGCTTGAAACTCATTTTACTTCTGGTACCTGGGTATTTCTCCTCCTTGCTTTTAAGCCAGATGTTGTTATTTATTATTATATGAAACTGTTGATATTTGTCTATATTATTCTGTCTGATGATAATATTGCCATCCAATCTTTTTATTTGTATGGTTCTATATATCTTT